GGATGGAGGGGCCACAGCCCCCACACATCTGGCACCACAGCGCATCCAGCAATCCACTTTTCAGGGCTAAACCTGAAGCTGGGAGAGAAGCAACTGTCTCCCTTTGCTCCCTGACCACCAGGATGGATCTGGTCAGACTGTCCAGTCCAGCCATGAGCTCAGATGCTTCGGCTCAGTCCCTGCCCTGGAATCACAGGCATGGGGCCATGGCTGGCACTCGGGTGGCCTTGCTGATGACAGCTATCTAGGAAGCCTGTGGGTACTCATCCTGTTGGGGCCCCTTTGTCCTCAATGCCCCTCCATACAGCCATGGAGCCAGGCTTAGGCAGTGCCCACTCCTGCCCTTGTCTAGGCGGCACCCTGGCACAGCTGCCTGGCAGCCGCTGACTTCCTTTTCCCTTTGTCAGAGCTCAATAGCTCTCTGGAGACCCGGAGAAAGGGCAATCACAAAGGCAAATTGGCAACAATGCTGGGAGAAATGAAATGGCAGAGAACCCCATCCACCCACTGGGCCAGAGGGAGGCAGAAGGGCCCGAGATTTGCACAGGCTGTGTTCTCCCTTCCTTGCTCCTGTATCCAGCCCATGCCACCCAGCTGTGGAAGCTGATTTTCCCCCAAGTGAGTTCTTGCAGGATGTGGATGAAGGCAAAGCTCTAATTGCCAGTTGCTGGAAGGAGACAGGAAAAAAAAAAAGATAAAAATATCTGTTTTTATGCACGTTTCCAGCGGAAAATTGATGGGAAAGATGTTTTTGAAAAGCCCTTATCTCTAACCATATAATTACTAGGTCCCAGAACAAACGGGAATGAGCATGAGAGAGTATGCAGGGCTTGGGTGGAGGGGGGCAAGTCCCATGGTTTCTATAAATAATCACCCCAATGTCCCCGCCAGCTGCCCTCAGGGAGGGCACCCCCGTGCTACAGACAGGGTTGGAGATGCCAGTCCCACAGCCAGCAAGTGGTTATGACACTGCTTGGTGTTTGGGCTGAGTGATGCCTTAGTTTTCCCACCCAGGGACTCTCTTAAAAGTGGGCACACTTTGGGATCTTGGATGCCCAGACATTTCCTGCTCCAGAAGCTGGAAGAAAACTCTGGAGGCAGGGATGTGAACCTGCAGAGGCACCATCCCCCTGGCAGCCAGCACCTGGCCTGGTGATAGCTCGACCCTGCCATCCCCTGAGTCTGGCCTGGACTCTATTCTCTCATTGTTGTGATCAGGGTTCAGGGGTCCCCAGTACTCTCTCACTCCCTGGGGTTCCCCAACCTGGCTGGGGTGAGCTTGGGCTTCAGTTTCCTTGCCCTTCCTTAGAGATGACCCTGATCCCTCCACAGGGATCCTGGGGCTGGCCCAACTTGCTGATCTCCAGACTGGGAGAATCTGGTGGCAGGGGCTGCTTTGCAGGATGGGACACTGTGACTGCAGCTTCCACTTTGAGGCCGCTGTGACAGTCATGCAGGCGCGCATGGGCTTTGATCTTAGTTCTTGGGGATCATCTGGGACTCAAGAAGTCATCCTGGGGGCTGTCATGAAAGGACTCTGCCTAGTGGGGTATCACTCACATCCAATGGGTGCTGATGTGAACATGGCCTGGAGGAGACCGAGCCAGGACAGCCCCAGGGGTCCAGACACCATTTGGGCTTTCCTGTGGTACTATTAGTGGTTTAGCAGCTTAGGGCAGAGTGAAGGTGGGGTTCACAGTGCCAAGCCCCACCCCTTACCCAGCCAAAGCTCCCTCCCTTACCAGAGCCCTGCCCAAGCTGCAGGGCATAGCTTCTCTTGGGGTGACATCACTGCCCTAAGGGACATTTATCTGTGTCTGAAATTGATCCTTCTGTTGTCACAGGTGCTCCCTGTGTCTGTGCTGGGAGGCTGGGGTGCTGGTGACTATCTTGCTGTGTGGAGGTTTAGAAACTATCCTGGTATGATGGACAGATGGGCAGATGTGGGGCCTGCTTGGTGGAACCACTTTGTGGGTGCAGAGTGCTCATGGGAGAGTGAGGGCAACACAGGCCAGGCTGTACCCATTCCCTCACCTTGGTCCTCAGGCTGTGGCCAGTGAAACAAGCAAGAAAGTTACATAAAAAGTATGAAAAGAGGTATAATATTTCAAAAGTGAGAAATAAAACTGTCATTTTCATGGATGACATGATCACATATACAGAAAAAAATTTAAATTTACAGAGTAACTACTAGAATGAGTACATGGATTTAAAAATTTAGAGTATAAAATTGACTGTATTTTTAAACATCCACAGCAAATAAGTAGGAAGTAACATTTGAAAACAGTGCAGTTTACAATAGCATTAATATGCTTCAAATGCCCAGGAAAATATTTAATGAAAGAGGTCCAAGACTTTTGCTAGTGAAACAGCACAAAACACCCAAGCTGAAAGCTGGGCATGGTGGTGCATACCTGTTATCCCACTACTCAGGAGGCTGAGGTAGGAGAATCACTGCCAGTTCAAGGCCAGACTGACCTATATAGTGAGTTTGAGGCCAGCCTGGGCTATATAGCAAGACCCTGTCTCAAAACAAAAAACAACCAAGCAAACCCAGCCTAGTGGGAAGAAGAGGAACTATTGCATCGGGTTGGTGGTCTTTGAGGAGCTCGGGTTCTCAATGACCTCCTGTCCCCTCAAAGACCTCCCGTCTCCCCCTGGGAATCTCTGGATTTCTCGTGTCCACTCTGGTGAAGAATGAGGAAGTGAGGTGAGACTGGCTCAGAGCTGAAACCCCCAGCAGAGAAAAGGAAAGTCAGGACCTTGCAGAAAAGAAAGTACTGTCAAGCAAAGGTTGTATTTATAAAGTCAAGAATGCAAGGAACAGCTGCCCGGGAACAAGATGCAGTACAAGGCAGGGGAATTCAACTGAATTTCCAAAGGTCAGAGGACCACAGGACTCATAGGGATAAGCTGGTTTCTAAAAATAACTGTTTCACTGATTGGTGCAGTCTAAGCCAATCAGGGTCTCAGCCTTTTGTTTCTGGGTTGAGGAAAGGTCTGGAGGCTAAGGGGCACATGGTACATGTAATAAGGTCACAAGACCTAGCTTCCTCAAGTACATAGCTTCGATAAGCTTGTGGTAAATACACAGCCATCAGCCACCCAGCTCATGTCCTACCTCATCCATACCCATATCTCCCTCTAACTGTCCCTGCAGAACTGTCTGGAGTCTCTTGCCACGTTAGCCACATCTTTTCCTCCCAACTCTCTGTTCCCTTTCCTGAGCAAAAAAAAAAAATCTCATGTAGAAATGTTTGTCTTGCCTGGTTCAGAATCATCCACCATGGGGACAGTTGCCACGTTAGCCACATCTTTTCCTCCCAACTCTCTGTTCCCTTTCCTGAGCAAAAAAAAAAAAATCTCATGTAGAAATGTTTGTCGTGCCTGGTTCAGAATCATCCACCATGGGGACAATAGAACCAACGAGACTCAAAAGCCAACGATGTACTCTGTGACTGTCCATACACCACTCTGGAAAAATGGAGAGATCATGGGGCCAAAACAGATTAGTGTTGGCCGGGATCCAAGGATGGGAGAGGTGGATGTGAACAGGCAGCGGGGAGAATTGTTGGGGAGCTGAGCTGCTCCAAAGCCTGGCTGTGGGGTGGTCAGAGATGAAATGCATACCACAGAGTGCACATTAATCCTGCGTCTAAATTGTAAAAGCAGAGAAAACACTTGCTTACAGATTGGTGGACCCCACCCAAATGCTCCAACTAGCAGGTTCTCAGTGGGGCCCAACATTTATGTTTCTGACCAGTTTGCAGCCATGTGGGTGCTGCTGCCAGAGGCAACGTTTTGGGAACCTTGTTATGCTGGTCTTTGGTCTAGATCACAGGATCCACCTAACCCAAAATCCACCAGAGCTATGGGACCCTACATAAAACAGCTTGTGTTGGAATAAGCCTACATACACCCTCTGGGGGCAGTGAGCAACCATAACTGCAGGTTTAACCAATTGCATCAAAACTGTCTGAAAAAGAACTGCACCCTCACCAAACCTGTGCAGACCTGGTTCCTTGCTGTCCCTGCAGAGGCACAGTATAACATGCACCCACTTCGTTTGTAGTACGCTGGGTAATAGGAGGGCCACGTGGGTACTGCTACACAGTGCCATGCTGTGTGAGGACTCGAGTGTCTGTGGATTAGGGTACTCGGGGGTCCTGGACCCTGGGGTGACCATATCTGAAATCGTGTTTAGTTTCTTTTTTCTTTTCTTTTTTGGTACCAGGAATCAGGTACCAGGCATCAGGGAGTGCTGGGATGGCAGGCTTGGCTGTACTTTTCTGATATTTGAAAAAAATGAAAAACTTCCTGGTAACTTGAATAACCCCAAAAGACAGATTTCACTGCAGACTAGACACATCCCAGAGAGAGCGATTTGGGAAATGTGGGGGCAAAGTGGGCTATGGGTTGTGGGGTGCAAAGCACCTCTCCCAGCTGGGCTGGGGCAGCAGGCTGCCCCTCTAGCCACCCTGAGTGCTGGAGGACATGGCTCATATACTGCAAAGTTCGGGGTCTGCTCAGGACGCTGGTGCAGCACAGCCTCACAGCAAATTGGCACCTGCGTGTGTGTGTGTGTGTGTGTGTGTGTGTGTGTGTGTGTGTGTAAACTTCCCATCACGGCAGACGTGCAGACACAGGCCTGCACAGGGGTAGCAAACCTGGGTCTCACTGAGATCGTGCAAAGTCCAGCTGTGTGGCATGGGCACAGGGTGTCCTGTCTGGGCCTTGGCTTCTTCATCTGTACAATGGGGTCATTTCAGCTGCCCTGTGTGTGTCTGGCATTTGACTGCTGATCAGCTGTGACATCTGGGGTGCTGTGGGCACCCACAGAGCCACTAGGCCAGAAGAGCCAGGGTGTGGCCCCCTGGGACTGGCCCTTGAAGGCCCAGCCCAGGACCAGGATGTTGGCAGAGAGGGACCCATGCTCAGCCCTAGGAGGGTCCTGGGGCCAGGCAGGAGGACGGGGACTTAGAGTAGTTCTGTCTCTACAGACGACCGGCCTTATTGCAAAGGTGGCCAGGACGTGGGCGGCACCGACGGGGCCTTGGCCTGCCGCAGACAGAGCATCCCAGGTAAAGCCTCCCTGTCCCTGCTGCCTGAGTCCTCTGTACAGCCCTGGCCTCCATGCCTCACTGCCCGCTCACAGCCCATCTTTCTCTGGCAGAGGAGTGCCGTGGTGTCACCGTGGTGGAGCTGACCAAGAGCGAGGGTAGCACGCTGGGACTGACCATCTCAGGAGGCACCGACAAGGACGGAAAGCCCAGGGTCTCCAGCCTCAAGCCTGGAGGGCTCGCGGCCAGGTGGGTGACGGGGCAGGCAGGGAAGGGGGCTGAATGTGGTGACTGCAGGAGGAAGGGTCCATTCCTGGCCTCGGCCTCTCAGGGTCCCTTCACACACACCTTTGCTGCACTGCTCCCTCCTGAGGCTTGTTCCCTGCTGTTTGTCCCCTCCCATGTGGCACAGACCACTGCTTCTTTGGGGAACCCCCCTGCCTGGGAGAGGCCCGGGCTGTCCTACTTGCGCGGTGTGGCATTGGACCAGTGATCTGCCTCTCTGTGCCTCTGTAGAATGAGAATAAGAAGCCGTCAGGGGTCCTGGGTGGCAGGTGTGGATGCCAACCCCCGGCCACTGGTCACCATGTGCTGGCCTTGCACAGGAGTGACCTGCTGACTGTGGGTGACCACATCCGGTCGGTGAACGGCATCCGCCTGGCCCGGCTGCGCCACGACGAGATCGTTGCCCTGCTAAGGAACGTGGGCGAGTGCGTGGTGCTGGAGGTGGAGTATGAGCTGCCCCTGCCCGGTGGGTGCCTCGTCTCGGAGGCTGGGCTGGGGGCCGTGCCAGGTGGCGGAGGGGAGGTCTGTGTGTTGTCACCAGGAGGCCGCAAGGCCCAGCCCGGCCTGTGGCTCTTCTAAGGCGAAGCTTGGGGGACCCTGGCCAAGCACCTTTCCCACCCTGCCCAGAAGCTGTAGTCTCAGTGTCCGAATTCTTAGTGTTGGTCTAAATCCTGGCTGAGTAGAGCCACAGCCCGGAGCCTGAGGCCGCCTGGCACTTGGGAGTGAGCACAGCCCTCCCCTCCCTTGGTGGTACAGTGGGCATTGGGATGAGGGTCCCTCTAGGCCACTGCACCCCAAAATCTCTGAGGCTGGTCACCCAGCACTCCTGGGACGGGCTTTGGGGATGCCTGCCAGTGTGGGCATTTGTGAGAAACTCATGGGGTCTCCCTCTCCTCTGCAGCCCCGGAGAACAACTCCAGGATTGTCTCGAAGACAGTGGATATCTCCCTCTACAAGGAGGGCAACAGCTTCGGCTTCGTCCTCCGGGGTCAGCGTGGGGACCACTTGGCTCAGGGGACAAGGAGAGGGCTAATGTGGATTCGTGTACATTGGGCTTTGTGCTCTAAAGAACCCCGGACTGCTAAGTGAAGTGTTTGGGGCTAAGGGGAGTGAGAGAGGCCCTGATACCCAAGAGGGATAGGGAAACCACTGCTTAGATTGAAAACAAAGTTTGGAGCTGTCTAGCAGTCAGGGCAAAAAGGGAAATAAGATGAGATTCCAGGGAGAGAAATAGAGAGATTTGGATCCTGGGTTCTATCCCTTTTCTCATCTCTGGAGAAGTTACAGTTGGTGTCTCTGGAGAAGTTCATGAGTGTTGAGGACAAGGCCTCAAGCGGGTGTCCCAGAGGGGATTTCTTAGGGGCTGACTGGCTCTGGGCAGAGAGGAAGGGGTATGAGGATGAGTGCTGCTTCCCGTTGAATTCTGCCCAGGAGGTGCTCATGAAGACCTGCACAAGTCCCGCCCGCTCGTCCTGACGTATGTGCGGCCAGGCGGCCCAGCTGACAGGTGAGACCAAGCCAAGAGACCCACCCTACCCTGAGGATCCCCTGCCCCGTGCAGTGGGTGAGCGGAACCACGCTGCCTTCTCCCACGGAGCCCACGGACCGGGATGAGACCTGGGGAGAGGGTCCCCAGCACATCCTCCCCACATCCTGTGTCGGCCCTGCCCCAGGCCAGGACTGTGACAGCCTGGGGTCGGAGGGAGTGTGGAGAGAATGTGCCCCGTGCCACCCTTGGAGAAGCCTGGCATGGCCTCGTGCTCAGTCTAAATCTGTCCCTGGACAGGCCCGGCCAAGCTATTCCAGGATGGCCTGGAACAGCCTGGGCCACCTGTCAGGGCATAAGGGGACCCAGCCAAGGAGCCACTGGCCCTCCTGGGGCCCTCGAGGTCCTTCCTGCAGACATCACCAGGGCGGAGCAAGGAGGCCCTGGAGGGTGGGAAGGTGACACCCACCCCTCTGAGCCAGTTAGCCTGGCCGGCTGGTGCTCCCACTCTCTCCCTGCCCTTCCTGCAGGGAGGGCTCCCTGAAGGCAGGCGACCGGCTGCTCAGCGTGGATGGCGTCCCGCTGCACGGGGCCAGTCATGCCAGTGCCCTGGCCACCCTGCAGCAGTGCGGCCACGAGGCGCTCTTCCGGGCAGAGTATGACGTGGCTGCCCCAGGTGCCAGCCTAGGCAAAGCACGTGCCAGGTGTTGGGTGGGGGGGCACCCTGGGGACCCATGGAGTGCAGCGCAGGTGAGGCCTGTGTCTCACAAGCTGGTGTCTGGTGGGGAGAGGAAGTCAGGCAGCCATGGCAGTGTGTCCACGGGACCAGGAGGACAGGGAGAGAGTCGAGCCTGGGTTTGGGGGTGTGGGGACAGCTCAGGGTGATGCTGCCGGCCAGGGCACAGTTGGCATTCTCTGGAAGACGGGCTATTGCACGTGTTGCAGTGGCCCCCACCCCCATCCCAGCTTTGCAGAATGGGGACCTCACCCATCACTGGGGTGCAGAGCAGGGTCAGGAGGGCTGTGTACCCTAATTGCCTGCCAACCTGCCTGTCTCCATGAGCAGACTCGGTGGCTGGGGTGACTGGGCCGCTGGTGGTAGAGATCATGAAGACACCAGGCTGTGCCCTGGGCATCTCGCTCACTGCTGGATGCCACTGGAACAAGCCTGTCATCACGATCGACCGCATCAAGCCGGCCAGCGTGGTAGACAGGTGAGGCCCGCTGGGCACCGTCTCTGGGGGTGTAGGGTGCAGGGCCCAGCTGCGGCTGGACCAGCTTCCACATCTGCCTGGCCAGGAGCGGGGCCTTGCATGTGGGGGACCACATCCTGTCTATTGATGGCACCAGCACTGAGCGCTGCTCCCTGCAAGATGCCACAAAGCTGCTGGCCAGCGTGGCGGAGAAGGTGCGGCTGGAGGTCCTGCCTGCACCCCAGAGCCGATGGCCCCCACAGCCCGTGGATGCAGGTGAGTCTGGGGCTTGGTCCAAGTGAGGTTGATGGAGGGCAAGAGCAGGGCAGCTGGCAGCGAGCAGGAGGCAGACAGGCCATGCTACCTGCCCAAGCCCCACTGCCGGGTGGGGCTTCTAAGTTCCCCAACCCCTTGTGCCAGGCAGTTGGGGCAGGGGGAGGTGCTGCTGGCAGTGCAGACCATGCTGGGGCACAGGGTCTGGGATGAGGGGCCTGAGACAACAAGATATACAGAGCCCCAGAAGGTCTGGGGTGGTTTTGCAGAAAGAGGGGGATGAAATGTGGGCCGTGGCCAGACAAAGGGTCAGCTGCGGAAGTGGTGATATCTATGGCTGAGACTCCAGGCCCAGACCTGATACCTCATCCTGGAAGGAGAAAGGAGGCTGTGGTGGCACCAAGCCATGTTCATGGCCCCTGCCTGGGAGATTCCAGGCTCTTCTGCCCTCTGTCCCTTGCCAAGCCCCTCTCTCCTGCCCACAGTGAAGGTGCAGAGGTGCGAGCCCCCCGGCTGGGATCCCCATGTGCCTTCCTGCCATAGCCCGCGGCCCAGCTGGGGCCCAGAGCACAGCCGAGGTATGGATGCCTGTTCCCGAGGGTCAGGGGGGTCCAGAGATGGGGCTGCCTACTCTCCCCAACATATTGGGGACCCTATGTGGGGTCTGACTCCCTGGGCCATTCAGTGAGTGAGGCCCGTGTGTCCTCCCCAGCCCTGTCCTCCAGCCCTTTCTCCTCACCGCCCGTGGAACACGCCTCTCCCCGCACACACCCCAGCACCCTGCCCCAGGGACCCCTGCCTGGGAGCCCGCGTGCCACGCCAGGGCGCAGGAAGACGCGCAGGAGGGAGCACAGGAGCTCGGGTGAGTAGGCCTGGTCCCTGGGTGGGCGTAGGCACCCAGAGAGGTCCCCAAAGCCCTTAGGTGTGACTGGTCCCTTGCCTCAGTACACACTGCCACCAGGGACTCTGGGAGTGTAATTCTCCATGACAGAGCCCACCACAGAGCTGGGAGTACATGCATGGCTGCAGGTGCTGGTCTGGGGCAAGACTAGGGCCAGAGAACAGAGAGCAGCTCTTCTGTCCCTGCTTTCCCTTTATCGCCCTTCTCTCCTTCCCTCTTTCCCTCCCTCCCTCCCTCCCTCCCTTCTTTCCTTCCTTCCTTCCTTCCTTCCCATGCTGGAGATGAAACCCAGGACTCCACACATGCCACACAAGGCCAGGGTCTCCTCTGTGGTGACGAGCACACCCTGCAGGGGGGCTGTGACGTGTGTGCTCAGGGGCTCCACAACTACTTGCGTGGACTTGCACACTTTAGCTGGCTTACTCTGATGGGCACGACTTGGGTATCAATAAACCATCACCCCAAGCCACGCAGAACACCAGCATGTGCAGAAGCATGGTCTACACAGCAGGCTGCCCCATATCCAGCTCTGCTCCAGGGTCCTGTCACCAGGGCCAGCAGTTAGCAAAGCCTCTCAGCATCCCTTCCATCCCCTCACGTGACTGGCCAAGGCCCGCTGCACTCAGCAACCTGCTCCCTCCTGTCCCTACCGGTCACCACAGGGCAGGACTTGTGCCCAGGGCCCTGACATGACTTAATCGTGGCCCAGAGCATGGCGGTAAGGGGCTGGCAGACAGGACAGGAGGGTATGGTTGCTCCACTGGGTCTCTGGTATTGACAACCTTTCAGCGTGGCTAATTTACCTCACCATAGTGGGTCCCTGTGGGAGGAAACATGGGAGGAAGGGGCCAGGCATTTCCCACTGCTGGGTCCCTGTGGGAACACAGAAGGCCAGGGCAGGGCATTTCCTGTGGTCTGGAATCCCCCATGGATACGGAGGCCCAGTGGTCCAAGCAGAAGTAACAGTGACACCCTGAAACTACGAAGTCTCCGCCCTCCCATTGCCATCCTCCCGTCCCTCACCCCCTGAATAAGGAGACGAGTTCTAGGTGTCTGCGTGCCGGTCATTTCGGTCACCTCAGACTGGAATTCAGAACTTGAGCGGGTGTGGGGTCCCTGAGTGCTATCGCCTCATCCCACAGTGTCCCTGGCGTCCAGCATGGTGGGGCCTGGCGGGCAGATTGTGCACGTGGAGACCACGGAGGTGGTGCTGTGTGGGGACCCCCTCAGCGGCTTTGGCCTCCAGCTCCAGGGTGGGATTTTTGCCACTGAGACCCTGTCATCCCCACCCCTCGTGCGCTTCATCGAGCCCGATAGCCCAGCAGAGAGGTGAGCCCCCCTGGGCCCACCAACCCCAACTAGAGGCCCCAGGACAGCAGAGGCCCCAGGACAGGTACTTCCTTCCCCAATCCCATGACCTCCATCAGCCCCATTTACCTTTAAGAGGCTGAAGCTCAGAGATGCCAACTCCCTGGCCCGGGGCCATACGGCTCGGGCATGGGGTCCTTGGGACTTGAGTCCTCTCTGTCCTCCTCGGGAATGGGGCCTGGCCAGTGACATCACCCTGCGGGACAGATAGGGAGACCGAGACCAGCATCATGTGACAGAGTGCCAAGGACATGGCACTGTCACGTGCTCTGCCCTACTGGGCCCAGGTGTGGGCTGCTGCAGGTGGGTGACCGTGTCCTGGCCATCAATGGTGTCGCCACTGAGGACGGGACCATGGAAGAGGCCAACCAGCTACTTCGGGATGCCGCGCTGGCCCACAAGGTCATGCTGGAGGTGGAGTTCGATGTGGCAGGTGAGCAGGCATCCTCTGTCCCTGCCTGATGACCCTGCTCCTTGAACCCTGCATGGTGGAGAGGAGGTCACAGGGCAGGGCCCAGAGGGTGCAGAACCTGAGTTCCAGCTTGGGGTTCCCACGCCGTGATCTGGCACAGGATACCTCCTCCCTGCTCCCTGAGTCCTTATCCATCAGGGTGGCAGAAGCAGGCACGGGGTGGGGGGTGTGAGGTTCCACAGGTCGGGGTCCCCACAGTGTGATCCAATCCATCTCTGCAGAGTCTGTCCTACCCAGCAGTGGCACCTTCCATGTGAAGCTGCCCAAGAGGCGTGGTGTGGAGCTGGGCATCACCATCAGCTGTGAGTCCTCACCACCATCCAGGGTTGGGCACGGCCGTCCAGAGCAACTACTCCATCGAGTGGGTGGTTCCCCACTCCTCGTTCTGCACAGGGGTCTCTTCATGGGCCTGGAGGTCTCAGGAGTGAGCTTTAGGGCCATGTGCCAGGCCAGCTGGACTTCCTGTCCCACTCCATGCTCCCAGAACCCAGAAGAGGCCCAAGTACAGCAGGTGCTGAATCACACTGGTCAGGGAAGGAAAAGGAAAGTAGCAGAAAAGTCCAGTTCATGAACTCAGTAAATCTGGGATAGGCACAAAGGAGAGTCCTGGCTTGGCCAGGGAGACCCTGTGTCCCTGCTCCTGCATGGCTCTTTGCATGGCTCTGCCCTCTGCTGTTTCCCCATCCATCTTTGGGACTTGGTTCAGGGTCTGCATACTGGCCTTGCTCACATGCACATACATGGACACACACATGGGTACACATGCACATACACGCATGCACACAGGCCTTCCCGCAGCCTTACCCTCCACGCGTTCCTTTCTGTCTTATTCTTCTCACTGCCTTCTCATCTGAGAAGCCACCCCTGTCTTTCCTGTCCTTCTGTCCCCTGCTGGGTCCCTTGGGGCTGAGCCTCGGCCCGTGGGCAGACAGTGATCAGGCTGCCATTCCAGGACTTGGTTGGCTGGGAGGTAAGCAGGAGGAAGAAGGCAGCAGTGCCTACTGTGTGCCAGGGGGCTGGTGGGGCTCTGAGCCCACGCCCATCACCTGATCCACCTTGCTGCATCCAGTGAGCTGTGGCCCCTCACAGCCAGCTTTTACGGAACAAGCAGAGAGCCAAGAGGTGGCTTTATTTGCTCAGGATGCGGGTGGGGAGGGGAGAGCAGGAAGGAGCTGGGTGCAATGGCAAGTCCTGTCCCCACGGAGGCCGATTGCTCCATGTCAGACTGCGCCCTCCCCACAGCGGCCAGCCGGCGGCGCGGAGAGCCCCTCATCATCTCCGACATCAAGAAGGGCAGCGTGGCACACAGGTAGGCACAGGCACGGGGCGGATGGGTGGCGGGTGCTGTGTGCATGAGGGGCAGCTCCTCCCTATGTATGCCCCACTGCAGGACGGGCACCCTGGAGCCAGGTGATAAGCTGCTGGCCATTGACAACGTGCGGCTGGATGACTGCCCCATGGAGGAGGCTGTGCATATCCTGCGGCAGTGTGAGGACCTGGTGAGGCTGAAGGTCCGCAAGGACGAGGACAACTCCGGTACGCCCCTGTCCCCGGCCGCCCCCCACCCCACATGCCCTGCCGCCCGCTCACGCTGCCCTTGCAGATGAACAGGAGGCCACGGGTGCTGTGAGCTACACGGTGGAGCTGAAGCGCTACGGGGGCCCACTGGGCATCACCATCTCGGGCACCGAAGAGCCCTTCGACCCCATCGTCATCTCGGGCCTCACCAAGCGGGGGCTGGCCGAGAGGTGAGCAGGTGGGCATGGTGGTGGGCACTTGGGGGAGTGGGACTGGGCACAGGAACACAGGCAGGGATGTGCTGGAGCTCTTCAAAGTGGTGGTAAATAGGGCAGCCCCAGCACCTGGGATGCAGCAGCAGCATCCCCAGAAGGGGTCCCTGGAGCAGTGGCACCCATGGGGACACCTGCAGGCAGCGGGGAGGAAGCCAGCCCAGTTCTTGCAGATGGGGCGTCTCTGCACCTGGCACGCCTCCAACTTGGCACTGGGCACAGTCACCCGCCCTCCCTGCTGGGTAGCCCTGTTCGGCCGGCAGAATAGAGTCCGAGCTCCAGACAGAATGGTCGGGTTTTGAGAAGCCACTTCCAAAAGGCTAAAAAATCAATGCGAACTAATATGTCCTTAATGCAGACGGCAGCAGGGAGCTTCCTGGGACTTGACTTACACTTTAATCAGGCTGTGTTTCACCCTACCCGGCGCCTACGTGGTTGCCGCACTGGAGTCGTGGCTGGTGGGTGCCCGGTGCACATGCTCCTGGTGTTGCTATCCCTGCTGCACCTGGGCCAGGGAATGGGAGCCAGTGCCAGCACTGCATGACTCCTGGGGTCCCAGTTCCCATCCCCACTGAGACACGGGAAGCTAGGTCCTGGCTCCTATGTGGGCTCAAAATTGTTCTCTGGATACACACTGTGCTGTTCCCTCCCGGGTTCCAGGCCAAGGACTCTGTTAATGCAACCCAAGGTTGCGATGTCTGCCTTGCCTTCTTTTTCTGTTACACATAACCAGAGTCACCAGGGTTCAGTCTGGGTCCTGGGGTTCCCTAGGGTAGAGGTCCTCTCCTGGGTCCTGGGTATGAGTTCTGATCCTGCCCTGTCCCCCTCAGGACAGGTGCCATCCATGTAGGGGACCGAATCTTGGCCATCAACAGTGTCAGCCTCAAGGGCCGGCCGCTGAGTGAGGCCATCCACCTGCTGCAGGCGGCCGGCGAGACTGTCACGCTGAAGATCAAGAAGCAGCTGGAGGAGCGTAAGCATCGTGCCGGCCTGGGACCCAGCCCTGGGATGGGGGTACCGAGGGGAGGGGAGGGCAGGCGGGTGACATGCTGATGAAAGGGCAGAGGCGGTGGCCCTGGGTCACCGGCTGTGGCAGGTTTGGTGTGGTCCGTGTTCCCTCCCTTCTGCACCTGCTGTCTACTCTGTGCCTATGGACACACCTGGCCCTCCTCAGGGTCTCTGACTCCATCTGGGAGTCAGTGGTAGGAGGAGCCTAGATGCAGTTTCCTGTACTGCTTGCCAGGTGACCTGGGCCTCAGTTTCCCTGTCTGAGGCCCCTGGTCAGCAGTGGGTTTTCCCCCAGGCCCGCTCATGCCCCGCAAGTCGGGCAGTGCCAGTGAGGCCAGTGACACTGAAGAGGACCCACCAGAAGCCCTGAAGGCCGGCGCTCTGGCTACCCGCTTCCCGTCCACAGTGTGCAGTGTGGACAGCGCCGTGGAGTCCTGGGACAGCTCGGCCACCGAGAGTGGCTTTGGAGGCCCAGGTAACTCTCAGGCCACCTGTGTGAAGGGTTCTTGTCCTGCTACTGCCCCCGCTGGCCTGCCCTGGCCTTGTCCTGCAAGGACACTTAATGAGGACCCCAACCCCATGACTCTCAGGGACCCTTAGTTTGGAGCCCTTGGCCAAGAGCCATTATGCTGTGGCCAGCTGTGCCCCTCCTGTCCTCACACCTGCACACATTAAGTGCTCAAGTCATGTTCCCGACATTCACTGGGAGACAGGAGGGCAGAAGGCACCCCTTCTGTCCCCCCAAAGCTCACCTTGCCCTCAGTGCACACTGCGATCCAGGTGACATGGGGTCCATGGAGATCACAGGGGAGTGAGTGGGTCAGGCCTATGGGGACTCAGGTGCTCTGGCCTGGTTCCTATGGGGGGGACAATTGCCCTCTCTAGTCCCAGTGTCCCTGTACCCCCATGGGAGCCCTGGACAGGGCCTCTGAGCTCCAAGGTGGGGTGGGCTTTGTCCCCATGAGCTGAACCCTTCGGTGGGCAATGGGGACAGGATGGAGTCCCCAGTCGACTTCCTGCTTATAGCCAGGAGCTCCAGGAAGGGCCTGGGATGGTGATGCAGGCCCAGAGGGGTGTGAGGGTCAGCGTTTCCAACTCTGGAAGTGGGGATGAGAAGGGGCAGAAGAGACTGGGCACAGACGTTCCCTCCATGTTCCCAGGTGCCTATACCCCGCAGGCAGCTGTCCGGGGCACGGCCTCCCAGCAGTGGCGGCACAGCAGGGAGACTCGGAGGACGAATTACACCCCAGGCCCCGGCCGGCAGTGCTTCCTTGGGGATGAGGACAATGACTGGGAGCCACCCTCGAGGTCGGTGGTGGGGACTCAGTGACCTGGGGGGCCAGGGTGCTGCACAGAGCCACGAGGCCACACATCAGGGAGGGCACAGTTCCAGAGAAAGGCACTGGCCAAGATGTGAGTGCAGTGGCTGCTTGTCCCACACCATCCCTGCTGCCACCAGGAGCTGGGCACAGCTGCACCAGCTGGAGGCGAGGACCCTCTCTCTACCCATTGGGCCTGTCCCACTCAGCTGAGTCCCCATCCTCCCTCCAAGTGGCACCTGCCACTTGTGTCTCCCCAGGTCATGACCTGGCTGTCAGGTCTTCTCTGTGACACCTAGCCTTGGCCCCAGGACCCTGGAGGGAGTGGTTGGCTCCCTGAGCAGGGCACATCTTGTCCCTGTGATCCTTGGGCTCAGGAGTGTTGGTGGCATCCGTGTTCCTGTCTGTAGGAGGGGATGCTGCTGGGCCACATCATGTGGCGTGTCTGCCTGTGACCCGCAGTGTCACCCAGCATTGTGTGTCCTGTCCTGTCCCTGTCCCACAGTGCAGTGTGTCTGGGTGGGCAGGACGTCCTCTGGGCTGTCCGATGGATCTCCCGTCTGTCTGTCGTCTCTCCCCAGGCGTCCTGTGTCACCGCTGTCCACCCTGTCTCGTCTGCCCCTGTTCTAACCGGCCACCGACAGTCTTGGTTGCCCCTAACTGCGTCTACCCCTCATTCTGTGTCACCAACCACTGCCCTGGGGCCCCAGCACTGCCACCAAGGAAGCCCATCTGCTTGCCCTGTGGTCCCGAGCCCAGAACTGGCCTGGCCTGAAGACTGCACGGAGCTGACACTCTGGTTCCTACGTTGCAGCCCCATCCCTGTCCCTGGCCCCAGCCCCAGCCCTGAGAGGGGCTTCTGGCCAGCACTGGGAGAGGCCCTGGAGGACCTGGAGTCCTGTGGTCAGTCGGAGCTGCTCAGGGAGCTGGAGGTATGGCCACTACCCCGGGCCTAGGGGATGAGCAGGTGTAAGTAGCCTGTGATGGCATGTATGCTAGGGATGCTGTGAACACGTGCCTGTCCCATGTGTCCATGACTGCACATGGAGAGCACGTTCCTCAGAATCCGTGTGTGTGTGTGTGTGTGTGTGTGTGTGTGTGCGTGTGTGCGCGCACGCAGTGCCTGAGCAGGGTTGGCGTCTGCACGTGATAGGCACTGGTGGCCATAGCTCTGTAGACACTGCTGCCCCAGGGAGTCCCTGCCAAGAGGGCGGGCTGCAGGGGGCCCGAGGCTCTGTGTTCTGCACAGTTTGATGGCCCAGCCCTGCTTGATCTGCCCTTGCCCAGTTCATTCCCAGAGGTGCTGCTTGGGTGGTGATGTCCTGCAGCCAACAGGCCCCTCACAGCCCATGTCTGTGTGTTAACTGCCTCCCTCATTTCCTTGTTTTCACGGTCTCACTCATTTTCATGTTCAGCTTCAGCATTTCCTTCCTACACCTTTTATGTCTAAATACTGACACATTTCCTGGGTTCTTCGCTAAGAATTTGCCTTCGAGCCCTGCCTTGGCTGCAATCCCTAAATTGTGATGGGTGATACTCTGGATTTTTGGTCCTGGGAATTGAATCCAGGACCTCATGCATACCAGGTGAGTGCTACAGCACTGGGCCACATCCCCAATCCTTGTTTTTTTTTGTTTGTATTTTTGGTACCAGGGATCAAACTTGGGATCTTGCACTTGCAAGGCAGGTGGTGGAACCACTGAGCTAAATTCCTGGCCCCTTTATCTTTTGATATAAAAAAAATTTTATTTTGAGACAGGGTCTCACTAAATTGCCCAGGCTGGCCTTGAACTTGCAGTCCTCCTGCCTCAGCCTCCCAGTGTGCTGGGGTTACAGGTATGTGACACTGAGCCTAGCTAAGATGCTTTTGTTGTTCACTCAGTTTAAAATCTTTTAAAGTTTTCCACTGTCATTTTTACATAAGCCCTTGAATTCTACAGAAGTGGGGCTTTTGATTTTGAATTACTGTTTTTTTTTAATCCAGTTTTAAAAATCAAATTATATTGGGTTTTATTTATTTATTTTTTTTATACTGGGGATTGAACTCAGGACCTTACACTTGCCAGGCAGGCTCAGTGCCACTGAACTAAATCCCCTGCCTTGGTTTTTATTTTTTTTATACTGTGGCCAGAGGATGTGTTCAATTTCATTTGAATTCTCTGGAATTCATTACAGTTTAATCCTTCATGGCCTAGCACGTGATCAGCTTTGCAAATGCTTTATGTGTGTTTATAAAAGAAAGCAAACTAGTTTTTGTTGGTATAGGGTTGTAGATAGTTCAAGATTGTTCATAAACTTGCTCAAATCAACATCTTTACCACATTGTGTAAACTTTATCTTCATTTTTGTTAGCAGTGTGTTAAAATTCCCACCATTACATTCTGTCAATTTTTATTTTCTATGCTTTGACGTTACATTGTTGGTTGACATAAATTCATGATTACGATGACTTCTTGGTGAATTTTTCTCTTTATCACTAATTATCATTCACTGTTATCTGTCTCTATGTACTTTCTATCTTAAATTGCAATTTTGTTTCTTTGTTCTATCTGCTTTTAGTAATATTTGCCTTTTTCTAATTTATTTATTTCTGAGCCTCCTGAACCCTTGTTTCATTTCTATTTTTTCATTAAATTTATTGGTTTTAGGTATACAGTACTGTTACAGTCATCCTTGTGTACCCTGTTTTAAATCTCTGGGGCATATGACTGATTCTTTCAAGGGCAAGTTCAGCCATTTATACTTTTTGCTGTTACTAATGTAATTAAACTTAAATCTAGCACATAGTTTATATTTTCTACTTCTGCTTTCCCTCTACTTCTGGCCACTTCTCTTTCCTTCTTTTGTGTAGAGAAGCTTTTCAATTTTGTCTTCTCTCTCTGCCACCTCTTTGGAGAAATTTCAGTTTTATATCCTTAATTCAGTGGCTTTTCTTTGAATATCCAATCTTTACACTTAAATCTTTATATTTTCGTAGAAGTGAGGTATGGGCGGGATGCAAAATTAGATGAGTGAAATAAAAAATAAAACAAGCAAAACAAAATCCTGGCTTACAACATTCCCACCCCAGAGGCCTTGCTCTTGAGTCAGCTGTATTTGAAGGCAGCAAGACCAGGAAACAAGGTTACTCTGCTTTTTCAGGCAGCAACTTCGTCCTTCTGCATCCACGCATCTCGTCTCACTCAGGCTGCGCTCCTGTTCCCCAGGCCCCTCTGTTCTCAACCTTTGTCCCTGTGACATCTCTTAAGTGCCTCTTAATTTTAGTTCATGGTGTTTCTAATGGCACCGACTTCAACATTTTTAAAGTTGAGATAAACTCACATAATGTAACATTTACCATTTCATTATTTAAAAGTGAAACATTCAGTGGCCTTCAGCATAGCCACAAGTTGTTAAACCTCTGCCAAGATCTAATTCCAGAACATGTTCAGCATCAGGAAGCTGACTTGATTCCACCAAGGCCCCCTCCTCCTGCCCTGGCACCCAACCCACCTTCTGTCCCTGAGGTTTCTCCATTCTGTGTGATCACAGAGGGGTCACAGGTCACTCAGCTCCCTGCCTGCCTGGTTCCCTCCTGTGATGTGGAGCACCGTCCTGTTGTTCATGGGCTGTACTGTGCCATACAGCTGTGTGTGCCATGCCGTGCCACAGCATGCCATGCCAGCCCTGACCTTCACATAACACCTGTCCTTGACTTCATCTTTCTCACAAGTTTTAGAGTGACTTTTGTTCCCCTCCTAAAGAGATGTCCCAGCTTCCTCCATTCTGCTCTTCCTGTCTCCCACCCGGGTGTGTTGTCTGGCTGGTGTGTGGCCGGTCCTGTCCCTGTGGTGTCCTGTGTCCCCTGCAGATGCTGAATGGGGAGGTTTGGGGACAATCTGCAGGTTCATGTCCTGACCAAATCCACATTATTCAAGGCTTCTGCTAGCTGGGCTGGGGCAGGCCAGAGTCTCTGGCTGTGGAGACCAACCGCTATCCCAAGGCACAGTTTCGTCGCCTGTGAGCTCACTGCTGCCCCTCAAAGGTCGTAGGCAGGGTCTACCATCACTTCTGCCTGTATCCTGGCTCTTGGGAGGGTGACCGTGCTGCTCACCAGTGGCCTGAGCCTAGGCCCTGTGCCCACAGGCCTCCATCATGGCAGGCACAGTGCCCAGCGCGGTCCTGGAGGGTGGACCAGGGCCCCAGGTCTGGAGGGGCACAAGGGAGCCTCGCGCATCTGCAGAGGAGCTTCGTGAGATGCTACTCCCCACGGCGGCGCTGGAGATGCACAAGGTGGGCAAAGGGAACAAGGAGGGCCTGGTTTGCCCTGCCTGGGCCCCTCCTCACGTGGGCCCTTTCCTGGTTCGGTTCTCCACTACAAAAGAGGGGTTTTGTTCTAGGTTGTTTACCACACCGCTCACAATCTTGGTGACACATACACACATGCACACACATGAACATGCTCACATGCAGATATTTTTCTCCTAAGTATATATGCTTTTGTCCCCACTTCAGTGTGTGTGTGTATATGTGCATAGCCAGACATGTAGAGGTATGTAAATCCACAACATACACAGTAGTCACACAGCGTGTGTGTGTGTGTGCGCGTGCGCGTGTGTGCACATGGGCCCCTCCGCCCACAAACCCTGTGTCTGCAGAGCCAACAAAGCATACAGGCAAGTATTCCCTGAAACTGCACTGTTCTGAGCGCCAGCCAGCTTTCTGGTTCTTATTCCTTAAAAGTGCAGCGCAGTACTACAGACGGGGTGTGTATGTGGGCTGTGAGTTTCCCAGACGTGACCTAAAGTGCAGTGCGGACAAATGACAATGTGTATGTGGACCCGAGCAGGACAGGTAGCCTCTGAGAGCCATGTCATCTGCCCCTTTTGTCACCTGCACCTACCTCACGCCTTCCCTCTGCTCCTGGGTGAGGAGCCTCCCCCTCCCCTGGGTGGCTCACTCTGTGGAAGACAGAACAGGAGACCCTTGTCTGGAGCTCTCCACAGTCTGCCATCCCTGGGGGCACTGGAAGAGACGAGGAGGCCACATGCCCTCACATGCGTGCTGCAAGCAGAGGCCCGGCTGGTGGAAGGGAGATGTACAGGACGCTCTGGGGGGTCAGGGCCAGGGACTCCAGTTCCCTGGGAGGCCAGGAAAGAGGTCAGAGCTGCAGGGATACCCCTCTGCTCCCAGGTGACGCTGCATAGAGACTCCACAAGGCACGACTTCGGCTTCAGCGTGTCCGATGGCCTCCTGGAGAGAGGTGTCTATGTGCACACTGTGCGTCCTGGCGGGCCGGCCCAACACAGGGGCCTGCGGCCCTTCGACCGGGTCCTGCAGGTAATGGGGTTGGGGATGGGACACAGCTGTTCATCTGTGAAAGTCATGGCAGATGCACAGTGGGCACAGCTGTGATCCCAGTGCTCAGGAGGCCGAGGCAGGGAGACCTCGAGCTTGAGCCCAGCTTAGCAAGATCCTGACTCAAAAAATAAGGGCTGGGGATGTAGCTCAACGTGAAGCTGGGGGTTCTGCCCTCAGGGTGAGAAGCAGGTGTTGGGAGGCGCAGAAGACGAGTCCTGGATGTGAGCCCACACCGGGCCTCACATGTAATTCAACCCAAGCCGGGCAGGACAGCGCCGAGTCCCACCGCATCTCCCTTGCTGTGCTACACACAGGTCAACCATGTCCGCACGCGGGACTTTGACTGCTGCCTGGCTGTGCCACTCCTGGCCGAGGCGGGTGATGTCCTGGAGCTGGTGATCAGCAGAAACCCACTAGCCCCAGGCAGCCGGGCCCCAAAGGCACCTGGCCCCCGCAGCCCCCGGATGCTCTGAAGCCAGGGAGATCCTGACCTCAGAGCTGCTGAGGATCTCCACAGGCCTGGCTGAGGATGGGAAACCTCCTTGTCCATCTGTTGGGCTGGCAGACTCTGTCTGTGTTCTCCGATCCCATGGTAGATGGGGTACCCGGGGTGAGGTCCCTGCCACAGCTGGAGTGACATCTGGACCTGTCCCACAGGCTGGGATGAGCTCAGCCAGAAAGAGAGGCCTGGAGAGAGCAGCCAGGAGCTTGCAGGGACACACAGACACACAGACACACAGACACACAGAGACACACACCCCGGAGCTGAGCAAGCTGAAGACAGACATCAGTGCAGTTAGGGGCCAAGGTGTGGTCCACAAGGGCTCAGGATCAACTTCCGGATAGAGCCACTGCATTAGAGGCCCTGCGCCCAGGACTCACCCAAGGCAGGGCTGTGCTTCCTGCTCCAGGCCCCCAGAAGGGGACAGAAGTCTGAGTTGACTGTCTCAGCATCTGGGACTTGAGAGAGGTCCCCAGGGAGGTTTGGCACCAGGCTGAGGGTGCCCACTGCTGGCTGTGTCAACCTCAGTATGAGAAGGACCCACTGGGGACAAAAGACTGGGAGGTTCCAGTCAGTCACCTGCCCCCTCGAGGAGCACTGGGAAACTGAGGACCCAGTGCTCACTGGTGAAGGCGCAGCTCCTCCAGGGCCAGAGCAGAGCAAGCAGCTGCGAGCAAAGTGGAAGGGAGGGGCATCCTCTGTCACCTGGGAAGTTCATGCCCACTGGAATCCAGAAGCACAGGGCCCCTTCAAACTCAACCTTTTTCATTTTGAGATGAGCACGGGGTGGGGCTGCTGTGGAATGGCTCTGCCCTGACTGACTGTTAGGGTCTTGGGAGGTCAGGGCACCCCCTAGCCTGGCCTGGGAGCCTAGAACTTGCTTCCACTGTGGAGACAGGTGGGGTCAGATTCAGTCCTTGGCTGGGTGAGCCCTAGCCACATTCTGTGCTGGACAATTGAGGCAGCAGTCTGAAGAGTTAACTGCTTCCGGCCACAGTCAGAGTCCCACCCTATTCCCCCAACTCGGTTGGCTCCCACAAGTGCCCCTGAAGGTCCTTCACGCCTGTGGCCTCATCCAGGAATCAGAGTGGAAGCTAGACACCTCCTTGAAGGCTGGGTTTGGCACAGCCTGGTCAGGTGGCTCAGCCTCTCCAGGCCTCCGCTGAGGGACAGGGCTGAAGTGGACATGTTCCCAGAGCTGGCAGCGGTGTGGGGATACTGCTAGGATGCTGGCTTAGGCTCAGGATGAGGGAGGATGTGTCCCTCACCCACCGCCCCACCATCCTGGGGCGCACGTCCCCCGTGGTCCTCCAGACATATGCAACTGGCCTCCGGCAGGCAAGAGCATCAGCCATGGCCAGCTGCCTACCCATCTTGTATGCAATACCCTGCTTCTCCTGGGGCTGTCCCAACTATTCCCCACCTCCCCTGCATCCTGCCTGCTATGCACTCGGGGACTACTGTGGCAATCCTACCCCCAAAGCTGTATTTTTCTTTGGCTGGGATTAGAGCAGATTCCTTGTAAAGTATTTTTGTACTCAAAGCACAACTTTCTGGGCCAAGGCTGCCTGTGGTCTGCTTGGGGCCCGTATTCAAACCTTGGGGCAGTGCTGTTGGGGTGATTTTTTAAAAATAAAATTATTTCAGTGCACCTGGATAGGTGGCTGCTTCCTCAAAAATCACTGGTGGGTGAGGGCCATTTTCTGTGCAGATCCTGCAACATCTCACCCACTTTTAACTCATTCATTCATTTATAGCCTGCCATGTACTATACCTTCCATAGCCTTTGTGCCAGCAAAAGACAGTGAGCCAGACAGCAAGACACAAAAACTTCCTGCAGCACAATGAAGACAACAAAATATGGAGCTGACAAGGTGGCACATGCCTGTGATCCCACTACTTAGGAGGCTGAGGCAGGAGGATCTCAAGTTTGAGGCCAGCCTGTGCAACTTAAACAAGATCCTGTATCAAAACAGGACTGGGGTGTAGTCCAGTAGTAGAGCATTCGCCTAGTATGTACAAGGTCCTAGGTGTGAGCCCCAGTACTGCAAAACAGAAAACACAAAAAGCCAGTACGCAACAGAGGTCCTGGGGTGAAGGGGACAAGGTAACATCTGTAATGACTGAGGAAACGAGTTGTGCAGAATGTAGAGGAAGTGCTCCAGAGGGCACAGTGGAAGCAAAGGCCCTGAGGTAGTAATGACTGTGGCAGGTTCTAGGAAGAGGGAGTGCCCTGAAGGTGGAAGGCGTATGGAGGCCACTGAAACAGCTGAGTAGTGGGAGGGGCTGCCCCATCTCCAGAGAGAAGTGGGTTCTGGGGGAATCACAGCTCTGAGTGGCTTCGACGTGGGAGCGAGCAGCCTGTCTCGGGAGGGATGTCATCAGTGGGGACCAAGAGGCCATTCTGTGTGCTTGGCAGGAACTCGCTGGGAGCCCACAGCCTGTGGAGTGGGCTCAGTCACTGTGCCAGAGCAGCCTGTGAGCAGCCAGGATGCAGTAAACTGGTCTGGGTCACACGGGCTCCAGGGATGGAGCCAGAATGTCAGCCATGCAGCCGAGACACCTGAGGGGTGGGCAGTGGCGACAGCAGAGGTGGTGGGAGGGGCAGGGTCCACTGACACAGTCACCAACAGTGAGGTCCTGTAGGGACCACCCCAAGCCCCAAGGGGGTGACCCTGTGGAGCACTCCATGCCTGTCACCTCCCAGCACCACTCTAACCGCCCTGGCTGCCTCACGGTGATAACAACAACGGGCCACTCCAGATGGGGAAACTGAGGCTCAGGGGCAGGTGCCAGGGCTCCCAACACCATAGGGCTGGGCGCAAAGGCAGAACCAGCAGAGCAGATGTGGCTGGGGTGGGGACAGAGCTTTCCTTCCTTTCTGAGCTCCACCAACACCGGAAGTGCCAGGCCACCATCAACACAGATGAACTAAAAAGCCATCCTTAGCTATAGCTATCTACCTGGGTCCATGTGTCTATGTTTTTGAGACAAGGTGTCTTATGTATTTGAAGCTGGCTTCAAATACCTGGTGATCCTCCTGCCTCCGCCTCCATGTTCAGCCTCAGCCTCTACCACTATGCTCAACTCAGAAAGCTCTTCATAAACTATAAAGCACTTGCCTAACAGAAGAGACAGCTTCCCCCACACCAAAACACACCTTACACGTGTGGAACTTTAAAAAGGAAATGTTTATTGTCATGTTATAAGGTGATTACAAACTCCTCTAAAAAAAGCAAAGATGAATTTAAAATATCGATATACATATTTATCTAAAAAGCAAAAAGGGGAAAACCCCCACACACCACAGGGATTCGGATCATAAAACATTTACACACAGAAGCCTGTATACCGTGGGACTGAATTACACACCTGGATCTTGTCCCAATGCAGTTTTTGTCGGTTGATTTTTTTTCTTACAAAAGTTTAAAATATCTTAAAAATATTTTGAAGCTTTACAAAACTCCAGATGAGCCAGACATGTTTCTGGAAGGAGGCGAAACCCACGCTCTCCATTTCTCTTGTGCTAAATACAGAGTCACAGTTGTCAAGGACTGGAAAGATTCACTGGGTAGGAAAACCAGAGCTCCTGTCTCAGTCTGAAGCCAAAAATATAGAGGCACCCCACCCTTGAGAAGGTGCCAGCATGGTGACGCCCCCAAGGGTGGGACACAATGCCCAGGGCCCCCACTGTGAGCATCTTCCTTGCTCTGCCCCATGGTTCTGCAGAGGTATTTAGGGCATTGGGTGGGCACGGGTCTGAAGGCCGCTGGGGCCCAGGCCTCTCTTGGGTCCTCTCCTGGCCCATGACTGGGTCCTGGGGAGAAGAGGGTGCTCTGCCCTCAGACTGGCTGCACTGAGCACCTCCCCCGACCAAGAGGGCAGTGCCAGGCAGTGCCACCATAGTGGGAGCTCACCTGCGCACCTTCTGAAGTGTGGAACAGAGTCCTGCCAGCTGGCCCGGGCCTCAGTTTCCTCTTGTGTCAATAGGGCTTTTGGTGCCTGGCTCCCAGAGGGCTGGGGGAAAGGGGTGGCATCTCCCGCATCTCTGGTGGCCTGGTAGGACCTGGGTGCCACTGCAAGGAGGAGCTACTGCTGGCCTGATGCAGTGCCAGCTTCTGTCCCTCCCACCCTTGACCTCAGCAAGGGGGTGCCCTGGGCTGCTCCCCAGCTGAGGCTCACCCTGGCCTCCAGTTCTTCCTGACCAGACCTGGCGGAACAGTGGGGCCCCTCCCTGTTCTTGGAGCCATGGCTCTCACCAGCAGCAGCATTGCTGTGGGAACAGAGCCAGGCGAGGCAACATTGCACATGGACTTGCAGGGTGGCGCGAGGCCAGAGGAAGACAGGTGTCTGGCGGGGCCCGGGCATTTGGCTGGCCTGTGCGCATCTTTGGTCTAGAATTTGGTCTGGGAACCGTGCAGAAAGGGCTTCCTCTGACCCTCTGCCTCCAACCATAGATGAGGCCTCCAGGAGGGGTTGGAGCCAGAGGGAAGCACGATGACCACAGGAGCCCGGGCCACTGACTGTCACCTGCCTTCCCTCGCCGACAGTGGTTAACAATTCCACAAGACAAGGAAACAGGTCACAGTGCCACATGATAAAACTTGGGGGGAACAAAGGGTCCAATCAAATCACACACAAGGCAACCACTGACACAGAAAATGGGGACACACAGGATGCCCGACAGCTGGGAAGGGTTGGGTGGTGTTTGGCAGAGTTTACAGCTTAGAAACAGAAAAAAACACGTCACAGAAAAGCGGTCCAGCGCCACCCCTAGGGAGGGGCGCTGAAGACACCCCAACTCCCAAATCGGGGGTGAGGGTTCCAGGGTTCTGAGAGTCCCTCTCTGCATGCCAAAGCCTGCTCACTCCCCATTCCTGCACCAACTGCTGCCACCTTTGCACTGGTTCTGCTTTGTCTCTGAGCTTGCAAGGTTGGGATATCTGCGCTGTGTGTTGTGGACGTGCTGTGCTTCTCCTGGTTCTGGGGTGCCAGCCCCCTGCTCCCCTGCTCTGCACATCACCTGCCTCCTCCCGACCCCCACGCAGCGAGTATCTGGGTGCACTGCCCCTGACCAAGGCCCTGCCTTGAATGTTGCTCCTGGCCCCCTTGCTGGGATCTGGGTGGTGTCAGGAGTCTCCCAATCTCTGGAAATGAGGGCAAGAAGGTGGCACAGGCAGCAGGCACCTGAGCAGTTGGGCCATACCCTGCTTGGGGATGGCCTGGGGCTGGTTCCTAGGCCAGTTTCAGCCTCAGAGTCTGCCTGGGATGTCTGGGAAGCATGGTGGCTCCCCAGCCTGGGCCCTGGCCCCTGACACACCTGTCCAGGTCCCTAGCTGCTCCCTAAGGCTGCTGGCCCTTAAGGTCCTGCTGACCTCCCACCCTCAGCCTCAAAATACAAGGTGGGGTTTGGCCGTGTGCCCTGTAGTCTACCGAGCTGGGATTTGCTGAGGACCATCCTTTGGGCTCTGGTCAGTCCCTCTGCCCAGGAGTCAGGCCTCTGTCTTGGCATCACTCTTCTTGGCCACTGTCCTCTGCCCACCTGGACCAGCCTGCAGGCTGCACTTGTGGGCATCTGTATCTTAGGAAAACCCTGTCCTGCAGGCTTGGGGCGGAGCTCTCTGCCAGCTCTGCAAGCACCGAAAAATTGCTTTTGAAAATGAGATCTTGCTGGCAAGAAGATCCACTCACGTGGTAGAGTGTATGACAATCTCTAAGTATATATAGTTTTATGAAAAAAAATACAAAGAAAAGTTTACCAAGTTCCCATAAAATACATCTAATCCCATATGAAAGCTCGGCTTCTCCCCGGGGACTTCCGCCCATGAGTTTTCTTTTTGTACAAAATATCCCCAAATCAAAAACGAAACACACCCACACACAGTACATACACGCACACACACGTGGAGTAACGTTTTCTGTGACAATTAAAAAAAATCCTAGTGCAAATATAAAGCTCTGTAAACCTGGTCCTATGAGATCTAATGTTAGTAAACAGCAGGGCAGTGGCAGGGTCACATCATGGTCTCCACCACGATGTGCGTGGGTGGCATGAGCGCCCCGTTGGCAGCCGGGCGCATGGCGAATGGTGTGGCCCCCTCTCGCTCCACAGCCCAGTGGTTGGGCTCCCTTGGGGTCAGCAGGTACTTGAGCCGCTGCGGGGAAGAGGAGGACAGATGAGGCAGGAGGAGGGGACCTTGCCACCCCCTCTCCAATCTCACCGCGTGCTGTCTGGTGCTTGGCACTGCCGCCTCCCCAGACCACCTGCTTGGTGTCCTTTTTGCAAGGAGACATGAACCAAGGTGATCCCACGATCCCAAGAGGCCCCAACTTGGGACAGCCATTCCTCAGCCAGCCCCTGCCGTTTCTCCCATTTGCAGCCTGTGAGCCTTCTGGGTCCAGCCTTCCCCAGGGAGAAGCTCCGAACAACTGCACTGCCTGCTCGCTCTGGACACAGGAAAGGAAGTGGCCTGGAGCCCTCTCCTCTTGGGGTGCACACACAGGCTTCCTGTGCTGCCCATAGGGAGCCACCTGTCACCATCTGGGGTGTGTGAGGCCTGGATGTCAGCACAGCCCTGCCAAAGGGGAAGAGCAGAGGAGCATGGCTCGAGTGCCTCCTTAGAAACCAAATTTCTACTCCTTTAGACACACCCAGCCGGGCAACCCAGGTTCTGGGCGCCGGCTGGTGGGGATCCCCAATTCCACCTCTCTCATATCATTGCGCATCCACAAACTGCTCAAAGTGGCAGTGTTTCACGAGCTTTGAAGGGACAATGGTCAGGGACAAGCGTATGCAATGGCTATCTAGACCTCTAAAGACCTCATCCCACGTGAACCCTTCAGTGTCTGTGCAGGAAAAGGAAGTGGGGTAGGCCCAGCTCCTCAGTGCCATGGCACCTGACAGGGCCACTGGGCTCGGGCTCTGTGGACTTCAAAACCACAACAGTCCCAGGCCTAAGGGAGAGGCCTAGCTCCAAGTGCTGTGTTGCTTCCTCTCTTCTCTGTCCCTGTCCCTACCCACAACTCCCCAGGCTGTCAGCAAACCATCCATGTCCACTGACCATGGGAAGCAGGGCCTCAGCACATCCTGGCTCCAGCCTTTTAAGAGAGCTGCCAGCCACCAGCTCTGACCCATAGGGCTGGGCACTGGAGCCTGGAGCCTGGAGCTGGTTCAAGCCCAGGGCAGTGAGGCCAAGTAGGGACTTCTGGGATGAGCCCTGGGCTGCCTCACTGGAAGGGCCTGAGAGGAAGGGGTAGGGATGGGCAGGGATTCAGGGGACAGGCTGGGACCTTGCTGCCCTGGGGCAGAGGTGGCTTCCACCGGCCAGGTTACCATGGAAACTACATTTGGCTGGAACAGGCCTGGTGACCTCCTCAGGCAGAGCCCAGCTTCCAGCTTGGTACGTACCCGAAGCCACCATCACTTTAGCACCCTTATGACCCTCCCAGGCAGGTCCCTGAGATCAAACGCCTGCACAGAGGGTGCCACCCAGCCTCCTTCTCTGACCACTGGGGGAGGAGTCGTTGGTGTGGACAGTCACACAGGAGGATGGCCGCCCAGGAGGGAAGGCCACACAACAGCATGACCACGCAGGAGAGATGGCCACACAGAAGTGACAGCTACCTGCCCTGCCCACCCACCTGCCTCCCACTTACCACACGCAGTGGCCCCTCAGTGCGGCAGAGGCGAATGAGCACGGCCAGCGGGACACACACCATGGAGGACAGGGCCAGGCCCCAGCCCAGCCCGATGGCCCAAGTCGGGTACACATAGACCTTGTTGTAGGTCAGGGGCACGTACTTCACAAGTGAGAAGACGAAACAGCCCTGCGTGAGGAGAGACGGGGTCAGGGATGAACCAGCAGGGAGCAGTGTGCAGGCTCATCCTCCACCCAGTTTATGCGGCAGCAACAGGTCTACACTCTGGCACTCAGCATCTGGTCTACATTCCAGCACCCAATCTACACTCAGTACCCATGTGCATTCAGCACTGGGTCCCTTTGCCTCCTCTTCTCCTGCCCTGTGCCCAGATGCCTGCCTGCTCCTTGAGGAAGTGCATGGTTCTGACTCCTCTCCTTCGAGTTCCTACCCTGCCTGGGTATCTGCCTGCTAACTGCCACTGCTTCCCTAATGCTGGGAATGACTAGGGCCAATCAATGAAGGGCATGGACAAAAGCGTCCCATCCCCCAATGCCACCCCCAGGACAGAGCAGGTCCCTGGCCTCTGCTCTGGAGGATGCACCGCTGGGCAGAGCCTGGCTGCCACAGCTGCCCCGTGCTGTGAAGATGTGTGAAGGATGGACCTTCCCAGTTGGTGGGGAACAGTCTACTTAAAACTGACTTGAGATTACTTGCTGCTTGCTACTTTTGGTGCCTTCTGCCCGCCATGGACTGTTTCTTCTCTGATGCCCCTCTGCCATGTCACCCTGCCTTGGAGCCAGCCAACTATGAACAGAAACCTCTATAAACTGTGAGCTGAAGAAAACCTGACTTGGCTTTGGGAGGGGACAGCACCAGCTGCAGACAGCAGCACCCCCACCCACCCTGTCCTTCTATTCCACCATGGGCTGCACAGGAGCCAGGTCACATGTTGATATTTCCCCTCCTCGAGGTCAGAGAGGCCCATAAATGAGACTTCGGGGTCAGGGGACAGGATTGGGCTGCAGCCTGTGGACTGCACCTCACTTGCCATGGGGTGGTAGCTGGGGGGATTACTTGGGTAGGGGGGACAATATTGCCTGGCAGGGACAAAGGCCACCATTGTAGAGTGTGACAGTGGCCTTCTTGTCTTTTGAGCAGGGAAACTGAGGCCAGTGAGGGCTTAGGCTGTCCTGGGGTCACACAACACTACTCAGCTGTCTGGGATCAGAGCTCGGGGGCAGAGGGGGAGGAGGTGCCATGTAGCCTACTTGTCCCCCGGCTCCTAGTTTCAAAAGCAAGGGACACCTGGGCCCTGCACATTCCCCAGAGTGCGAGCTGAGCAGCAGAGCATTGTGCACTGTGAAGGAATCCCCATGACCTTGATACAGGGCACAGGTATGTGCCACTGTTGCCTCTGAGATGGCAGGCCTGGAAAGGGCCATGCCCCGGGCTGCCACGGCTTCCTTGTCCTCCTGGCCACTGCCTCTACCTCATGTGGACACCTGTGTCTCTGCTTGACATCCCAAAGGTCCCTTTCCCCAGCACCCCCACCACTCAAGTGTCACAGGGTCTATATAAGCTGCATCTCGGGTGGGGACTAGATTTCCACAGCTTGCACCCCTTCTCTGTCACAATGCCCTGCCTTGCACATGCTGTGCCTCTTACCAGGAATGCCTGTGCTGGCAAACTCCTACTCATCCATCAAAACTCAACCCAAGCAGCCATCTAGAGCAGCCGTCCCCCATTGTCCCAGGTGGTGCCCATGCCCACCCCAGAGGAAGCCACTCCCCAGAGTCCAGGCTGCATGGCACTCACAACACAGAGAACAGGGGTGATGACAGCCCAGCTGTACTTCATCCAGGGTCCAGGCCGGTAGCCAATCATGTCTTCAATACCATCATAGAAGTTATCACCCCCTGCAAGAGACAGCAGTGAGCTGAGGGGACGCAGTGTCCAGGGTCACACTGCTTGGGAGCACGGTGGCAACATCCCCACACCAGAGGGACAAGTGCTCAGGCACTCAGCTGCGATCAAGGCCATGGCCCCCTGGGGAGGCCCCAAATCCTACAGCAGCCACTGAGGCCTCTAGGGGCCATTTCTGGACCCCAGAGTGGGAGTCACAGCCAGCCCAATACCATGGGTCCCCCCATGTCACAACACCCATCACACCTCGCGCTCCAGCGAAGGGCAGTGGGAGGGAGGCTCTCAGGGCTCCGTCCCACTCATGCCGTATCTAGGCAAGGAGCTGGGAGGGACAGGAGGGCGAGCAGACCCAATACTCACCATAAATCCAGGCAATAACAATACATTCAAAGAATGCAACCCACAAAAGGCATACACCGCTAGCTGCATAGTAGTCAAAGAGTTGAAACACGTACATGCCACCCTGTGGAGGAAATCAGGTGCTGGATTGGTGCTGGGCCAAGTCTCTTCCTATGCAAAGAGCTTAGTGAAGCAATAAAACCCTAGGACCAGGATCACAGTTCTGTATTAGGTGCGTGCCTTGCAAGAACCCAGCTTCTGCCTCTAGTATAAAAACAGCACTAAGGAGCCTAAAGCAGGAAGATTGCTGAAAGTTGAAGGCCAGCCTGAACTACATAGCAAGACCCTGTCTCAAAAATAGGAGGGCTAGGAATTTAGCTCAGTGGCAGCATGCTTGCCTTGCAAGTGCAAGGTCCTGAGTTTGATCCCTGGTACCCGCCCTCCAAAAAAAGTGGTAAACCGAGGACTGAGCTGGGCTGGGGACAACTGTAGCAGAACTCGCCGCCTCCTACAGGATGCAGTGCAGACCACACTCCCTGCCTTTGGGCTCCTGGCTTTTTTGTGTTACCCAGACCCCCTCATAGCCCTGCAAGGCCAAGGCTCCCTCCTCAGCTTGGGGAGGAGAGAACAGGACCCAAGGCCCAGGCACAATCAGGCCTGGATCAGTGCCCTTGGGAATAGCGGGATCCGGGCAGAGCAGGACCTGGTAGAGTGGGACCGAGGTAGAATGTGACCATGGGCAGAGCGGGACCAGGCAGGGCACAGTAGGACCCAGCAGGGCAGAGCAGGGGCCAGCACCACCTACCTCCGTCACCATCGTCAGCCCCAGCAGGTAGCTGATACTGCACACAATGGCGATGAAGACTTCCCGGCGATAACCCTTCCTTAGGAAGGATGGGTAAAGATCCACCAAGGATGTGATCTGTCCCTCGACTTCAACAAACTGCAGGAGAGGACAGGCCAGAGCTCACCCCATGGTCACACACAGGTCCTTCCCGTCCTAGTGCCCTCTCATCACCCAGGCTCAGCTCTGAACACAGCATCTCTGGAGGCCATGCGGACCCCTGGGCACTTGGGGTACGGCTCACCAAGACAATCTCCCTTCTGGTCCCTGCCATCTCACACCCAGACCCTGAATGCCAAGCCAAGCCACAAACCCATGGCCCTCAGCCCTAACTTACTGGGTGGCTCAGGGCAGGCCTGGGCTTTACTTCTGCAATCAGTGGCCATTCGGGTTAGTTTCCCAGGGTGGTTTCTGGCTCTGTGGCAATTGCTTGCCCTGTGTGTAAGCCATGGCTTCATCCCTGACTCGGGAAACTCTGCCTGGCCTCCCAGGAAGGCCCTTCTGCCGGTAGCATGCTGGGATGGTTCTCGGGTTTCCTGAGTCTCCCTGTCTTTGCACCTAACAATTTCTCCTGACCATAGTGCTGCATCACTATGTGGAGAGTAGTCCCGTTTCTTTGATGGCAGCATGAATCCCCACGCTCTGGACACAGACCATCATCGGCCTAACCCATATCCAACCCACATGTCCAGGCTCCTGTGCCTCCTGCCTTCGGAGAAACCTCTCCTTTCCACTCTTATCCAGGAGTTGGAGCTGGGTTTGCAGCAAGGTCTTGGGGTGCAGGGCTGGGGTCCAAGGACCCAGGGCACAGGCTGCACCCCCGCTGCCCCAGGCTGTCTGATCAGGACCCAGTTTCCTCCTGCTCCTCTAGAGCCTTGTGGGGTGGCCAGAAAGTGGTCGCCAGTGAAGAGACACATAGTACTGTGCTACACGGGAAGTTGGGTGGAGTGGGGTTTCTGCGGGCCACAGTCACTAGGAGCGGAAGAGCAGCTGTGAAGCCAACCCATGCCTTGCAAGACATGCCCTTCCCTTTCCTGAGTGGGGGAATTACAGACAGGAAGGGCCAGGGTCACTGTGCATCCATTGGGGGCCAAGACTGGACCTCACTTCTAGCCCTGCCCTCCTGAGAGCACCTCTAGCCTCTGTAGACCCTGCCTAGCAGGGTTGGCTCTGTGCTTTCCTGTGACCGTAAAGAGACACTAAGCAAAGTTTGTGAGGAACAGGACCCTAGTGACTGCATTGGAATGAGCTCCCAGGTAGAGGGGAAAGAAAGGCCTGGCTTGTGGCACTTGGGGCTGATGGTTCTGAGCTATGCACCCCCTGGGCACCTGCTGGCACTGTATGAGGGAGGCTCCTAGAAAGCAGGAGGTTGTTGTGATCTCCCTGCCCCATACAAGGCTCTTTCTGTGGATTCAGAGGCAAAGCCGCTGGTCACACAAGAATCTGGGGACAGGCGGCCCAGGGGTCACCCTTAACCAGCTGTATGTGGCCTTAACAAGGGCTCAGTTCCTCTCAGTCTCAGTGGAAGAGGAAGACGAGGAGGAGGAAGAGGAAGAGAAAGTGGAAGAGGAGGAGGAACAGGAAGAGGAGAGAAGAGAAGGAGGTCCTGTGTTGAGCAGGGACAAGGCTCCAGCTCAGACTTGGAGGTTCTGGAGGGGCGGCACTTGGATGCCCAGCATGGGAAGGTGCTAACGACCATGGCTGCTCACTTCCTATGGGTGACATGAACCCACAGGCGACCTTGCAGAGGGGCATGGGTGGCCTGCCCATCTGTCAGAGCACCAGTTGAACACATGCCAAGGCTGTGTGTGAGACACCAGCTCCTCTCTCTTGCCCCAAGTACTGGAGGCCAGGGTCCTGGCTGCCAGTCCATTCTGGGCCTCCCACATGAGTGGGCATTAACAAGCTTTCCTGAGGTTCTCTGGGAAATCTAGCCACAAGCCCTTACGCACTGGGAGACTTGACTCCAGGCTGGTCGTGACTTTTCCCTTGGAGCCCCGGAAGGCCCTGGAGTCACCCCTGCTATTGACAACAACAACCGCATGCACATTTGGCTCTCAGTCTCTGAAATCTCTTCATCCTGTCTCCTCCCTGATCTGAGGCATTCCTGCTGATACCCACCCATGCCTGACCTTGTCGGCTGCCCACCCCTCTCTGACTCCTCTCTTCTGCCTGGCCTCCTACAGCTGTGGCCCACAGGGAGGGGGGGCCAGACAATGTGGGGGTTGTGTCCCATGCCACCTGCCCTGTATATCGAAGCCCCGTGTTGGGATCTGACACACTCGACAAGGCTTCAGTGCCACACAACCTTCCCAAGGGAGAAGGCTGGGGTCCCATACCATAGCCCAGCCCATTTCAGGCCTGTGCCGAGCACTTCTGGAGGCAAAGTGGGCAATGCCACGCCCCTCCTCAGAGCCTCACACCGTCTGCTCTGCTTCAAGGCCATACTCAGGCGTGCCAGCTTTCTTGACACACCTGGCAGCAACCTGCCATATGTGTGGCTGGGCTAGTTGGGCTCAGAAGCTCAGGACTGGGCCCGCTCTGCAGCATAGAGTATGTGCTCTGCATGGAACAGGCCCTGGCAGCTCTTGGCCCCAGACCCAGGAAAACAAAGTGAGCACCAGAAAGTGGCTGTGTGTGGCCAAATTCTGCCTGCAGAACAGGAGATCAGAGCCCTGGAGGCTGACAGAGCCTGGGGACGGCCACCCACTTGCTGCAGGAAGCCCTTCTGCCGCATGGTGACTTCTCATTGGCCTGCACAGCAGCCAGAGATGCTGGCCTGCATTGCATGGCCCTGGCTGGAGTGATGACGTCTTAGCCATTTCCCCTGGCTGGGGCACTGGGGTGGACAGGGGTCACCCTGCTGCTACCGGAGGTCTTCTCTGGGGACCTGTGGATCCCACTGGCTGGAGCCTGGAGTGTATCACGGGGAGGAGGGTGGCTGCAAAGACACCTACCTGGCTATCCAGTCCCAGCAGGAGGAGCATAATGAAAAAGAGAATAGACCAGAAGGTGGGCAGCGGCATCATGGTCACTGCCTTTGGGTAAGCGATGAAGGCCAGGCCGGGCCCTGAGGAGAGAGCGGGGCAGGGAGAGAGACCATGAGCTTCGTGGCCTCAGACCCGGCCTCAGGGCGCTCGGGCCGAGGCATCTGGCCAAGTGCAAGGGCCGGGTCTGCTCTGCGAAGTGGGTGTGGGGGCTGGGAGGGGCCCCATTTACCTCTGTGTTTTAATGGGGCTCGAGGGGCCCCTTATGGACCTGGGGTGGGACACAGGCTCCTCAGCCCGAGACCCAGGAGAGGACAGACCCCCTCCCACCCCAGAGCCACCGGCCCGCAGGACAGAGACCAGGGAGTCTGCTTACCGGGGCCCTGAGCCCAGGATAGATTGCAAAGAAAATGCTGCTGTTGCTGAGCTACTGACTAATTACTGCAGGAGCGGAAGCAAACGGACACCGCCACACCCGCAGGGCAGGGCCCCCTGCGGCACCCAGAAGGCAGGGCAGAGCCTGGCCAGAGATGGTGGTCCTGGCCTTGTCCTTGCACCTCCTGCACAGGCCTGCTGGGGCCCAGCCTCCCCTCGGGACAGAGGCCACAGCCACGTCCTCCAATCCCAGAGGCAGCTGTCTTGGGCTTTGAAGGCAAGATCCCGAGGAGCCCTGCAGGAATCGCCCTGCACACAGACAGTGGTCTCTGCAGGGGCCAGGGAAAATGGGGGGTTACCACACTCTGCAAAGGCCAGCCTTGGGGCCTGGCTATGAAATACAACCAACCTCTAAAAAGCAAAGCAAAAACCATCTCAAGGAACAAGATGCAAGAAGGGCCATAAGCAAGACGCCTGAAACGTGTTCTATAGCAGACACCAGAAACACACAAACGGCTTAGGAATAGGAAAAGAAAATCCACAAAAACAAACTTTTTTTGCAAGAAATTGGAACCAGGAGTCACACTACAGGCGTGACAGTCGTAGAGGGCAAGTCCTCCGCAAGGCAGAGTCTGCTCGCCTGAGAAATCCCCACCGAAACAATGACACTGGGTGTGGGGTCCTCACCATACCTGGGCTTCTTGAGAGACAAGCAGGAGACCAAGATTCGGCCCAGAAAAAAAATCACACCCCACCCCCAGGATCCCCAGACACACTCTTCAATCAGCGTCGATGTCGGTACCCAAAGACGCTGAGTGTCCACCCAGGTGGGGACCCTAAGGTCCCTGAATGCGCAATACCAGCCCCAGCTGACGCACACCAAGGAGAAACCGAGTCCAGCCAGACGCGAGACATGGAGTCCCATCACCCCCACCCGCCGAGGCGCTGGGAGAGCCCCAACTCGCAGGTTCTGCCTTTCAGTTCTGCCTTCCTCGAGCCTCTGGGGGAAGTTCCTCATGTCCCTCTCTGAAGCCTGTGGTCAGAGAAACCCTGAGAAGGTCCCTTGGCCCAGAGGCCCGCACTAGCCAGGAGCTGGGCTATGCCTGGCTGTGTCCCCACGGCTGCATAGCTATGTCCTCATGTGACTGCAGCTCAAGATGCTGCCGGTGAGAGCTTATCAGAGACATAATTGCCCTCCATGTGCAACCGTTCAGATGCCAGGATGGGGAATGAAGGACAAGTGGACAGGAAGAAAACAACCAAGGCTGATGGCTGACGTATAGAACACCCAGCATCCCCAGGAAAGGCTGCTTCAAGCAGCGCCGCCACAGTGTCCACCACAGAAGTGGCTCCCCGGTGATTGGGGTCTGCTTGCGAGGCATCTGCTGAAAAACACCACGTGCAACAAGCTGTGGTGGGTGACTGGGTCCCTGCCGCCTCCCCAGTTCAGGTGGGTGCTGTTGCAGGGTGATTGTTTAGGGTTCCCAGCCTCAGGGGCTATCGGGAGGGAAAAAGTAGATCTGGGGCTGGGTGGACACAGGGCAAGAGGAGAGGAGTGCAGGCTGGATGAGAACTTGAATGAGGGACCACAGTCCCAGGTCTGTGGACAGGGCCAGGGCTCCTGGCCAGAGGGGCCCAGGACATTGTCACAGTAGAAGGCTAGAGGTGGCTGCACCTTTGGGGAGCAGCAGTCGAGGGAGGGACGTGTCATGGTGGGCAGCACAGACAGGTAGGCATCTCAGCAACCCTAACCTAACTAATCTAACCCTAACCTCGACCTTAACCTAAATCTAACCTTAACCCTAATGCCAATTCCACTGAGATGTGGGCATCGGCCCAGGTGCCCACTGACCCTCCGTGTGACACCTGGGTTCAGGCCTGAGGATCGGTGGCATGACCCAATTTGTCCTTTCTGCAGGGCCCCTGAGTCACAGCCCAGGCCTCAGCCAAGAATGTAGCACAGAACCTTGTGGAGAACTGGTAACCCCCGCTCAGGGATGGGCAGGACAGGGTGGTGGAGGCCAAATGGCCTTGGGGACCCCACCCTCAGACCCACATCCAGACTCCAGCAGCTAGAACGTCCTGAACCCAGGAACCCAGGGCACCACAGTGGATTTTGAGGCTCAGACAACCTGTGACTCCAGGATCCCAGGTCTCACATCCCGGGCTGTGGAGCCCTGGATCTAAAACTCCAGATGTCCCACAGAGGAGCAAGTGGCCAGTGGGTCTGTGCCCAGGAGGACAGTGCTAAGTCCCCTGCCTCTGCTCTACGACAGCCTCCCAGGCCCTACCTTCCCATCCCTGACCCCTCACCCGAGCTTCGGTGGAAGGAATGAGGGAGGGGATTGCGTGGAGGTGACATGTGGCCGGCCCACATGAGGACAGCGGTTTCTGTGGCCTGGAGGGGACAGAGGCCACTTGCTCTCTCCCAATCTGACACCCATGCTCCTGCCGCCCCTTGGGCCACACCACATGACAATCTTTGAATGGTGCCTCAGTCAGGGTGGGGCCTCTGGTGGGGGCAACAGAACCAGGCTCCCCCCGACCCCGGGTCTGGCTTCGCGCCGGCAGCGCTGGGCTTGCACACTAGGTGGCAGTGCCCACCACCACTGCCACCGACACCACCGTACCTGACTCAGCCACATCAGCAATGTCCACCCCTTGCTCTTGTGCCATGAAGCCCAGGATGGAAAAAATTGCGAAGCCAGACACAAAACTGGTACCACTGTTGAGGCATCCCAGCAGCATACAGTCCCTAAGTCACACACGTCAGGGAGCAAGTTAATCACAGCGCAGGAAGCTGGGCTCCCTACTGTCTGTGCGCAGCGCCGCGGCCGGCGGCACGGCCCGTGGCGCAACACTTGCCTGTAGGAGTTGTACTTGTACTTGTTGTAGCTCCCCAGAGACGTCATGGCTCCCAGGCAGATGGCATAGGAGAAAAAGATCTGCGTCCCTGCGTCGATCCACACCTGGGCAGGCAGGGAAGGAGTCACCATCAGGGCCAAGCATGTCCTGCCACCAGCAAGGGACCTGGCGACAACTCAGGGGTTCCACACTGGAACAGGGCTGATACTGTCCATCAGGATGGCCGAGAGTGACCATCTTTGCAGGACTGCAGCTGTCACCTCTGTAAATCGGGGACTCCCTCCTGCCCCATGGAACTGGCCCTCAGCTCAGGTTGTCAGCCGCCATCCTGATTGTCATGGCTGTTGTCAGGGACCCTGAGTGCTATGGGCCGTATGGGCAAAGTGGCCTGGACCCTTCAGCATGCTGTTCCAACAGCTGGGAAGCTGCCTTCCTGCTACCTCAGACTCTGGCCACCCTTCTGCCTCTGTCCTATACTGCGCTTGAGGGACAGGGGACAAGCACCTTTCAGGTCCCATACCTTTCAGATCTGCTCTGTGATGGGCAGGGCAGGTGGACACCACTAGCTGTGGGGGCAAGAGCTGGGCATGGGGTATGTCTGAAAGTCCCCACAGGAAAGGGACATGCAGCTGGGAAAGGTGCTGGCAGGTGTGGCTCAGAGCCCAGGAACCCCTGCCCCACCCTGCCCAGCCCAGCCCACCCGACTCCGCACCTGCGGATCCTCCAAGCGGCTGATATCAGGGTACAGGTAGAACTTGATGCCCGCACCTGCACCAGGCAGCGTCAGCCCGCGGACCAGCAGCACCAGCAGCATGGCAAATGGGAAGGTGGCCGTAAAGTAGACAACCTGCAGGGACAGGAGGCAGTGGGCCAGGGCCCCATCCCTGGGCCAAGGCCTGGGTGGCACCTGACCCCTTCCACAAGGGTCTGTGGGATCTGCAGTGGGGTCCAGGAACACTATCCTTCTTTCTTCAGCATCACCAAGCCCAGAAGATGAGGATGAGGGAGAAACCAAGTCCCTGCCCTGGGGGACAGTCAGGAGGGGTGGGAGTCACAGCAAGGAGCTGGAGTGCGTGAGAGGCAGGGCCTGAGGCTCCCACACCCCTCAGTGGGCATTGACCACAGCTGTCACTTCATGTTCTGTGGTTAAGGGTCAGGAAGTCTGGGTTCAAATCCCATCTCTGTTCTTTGTTTGCTGGGGAACATCAGGCATGTTGCTTAACCTTTCTAGGTCACAGTTCTTCACGTAAAAAGTGGGAACACCTGCAACCCTAGCTATGGAGGACGCTAATTCAGGAGGATCACAAGTTCACACCTCTAGGTGAGACCAAGACTCCAAATAAAATCACAAATCTTAAAGCTGCAGCTCAGTGGTTAGACCCCTGCCTAGCAGGTACAAGGCCTGGGCTCTGCCCCCAGTACAGTCATGGAAGCAACTTGTGAAGGGGCAAGGAGGCTGACAGTGCCATCCATATGGCACTAGCACAAAGCAGGTGCTTGGGAAACTGCCTATGTTGACCCTGGTTTGGTCAGAAGTGAATGGGGAGATCTGGGAAGGAGCAACACCTGGTCATCTCACCGCCTTGGCCCCTGAGCCCTCCCCAAGGCCAGTGGGCAACAGCCACTCCACCTCCAGGCTCCACTGTGAGTTCTGTCCCCTGCCTCCAACGTGAGAGCTGGGGCCCCAAGCTCTGAGGCCCCCAGACCTGGCTCGTGGGGCACCTGTGCCACCACAGCTGGAAACCAGCTACAGGCAGTGTCTTCAGCTATCTGTACCACCACGATCCCAGTCTGCCTCCACCACCCTCCCTAAGTGTGCATCCTTCTCCCAGACCTCAGTTTCCCAAACACCCTTAGTTCTCTTCTCCCTGGCTGGGACCCGCCACGATTCTTCCAGGCTGGGCAGGCAGACATGGAGGATGAGGGTAAGTCAGGAAGTCACAAAAGAGGATGGGCCTGTTGTTTCCCTTCCTGCAGACAGGCAGACAGGCGCACTGCAATGCCACCACCTCGCTGGTGGCCGCGCCCAGGCTGGGGCAATAGCCACATCCAGCAGCCTGTTGGGGTCCCTGGGTGGCCATACTTTAAAGCGGCCTGGGTGGCCAGGCAGAGCCCGGGGCCTAAGCCTTGCCTGTCCCAACTCAGCCTCCCGCAAAGGCTGCCTTGTTTTGCAGCCTTGTGCCCCTGAGAGCTGTGCTCCCAGCTTCCTGGGCTCCCTGGAGTAACCTGCGGAGGAGCCTTGCCAGGTGCCACAGCGGCTGCAGTGATTTTCCGCTTGCACCGGGAACTACCCTGGCTGCTCTGAGCACTCGACCCTGAGCCCTGCAGCCCAGGTGCTCTGGAAACTCAAAGGGACAATTGTCATTGCCCATGAGGCCCAGGGGTGGGGTCGATAAATCATTCTATGCAGAGAAACTGAAGCTGTGAGCAGGAAGAAACCTGAATGAAGCCAGGAGGTATGAAGGGCAAAGTGGTGACCCCAGCTCCGATGCCCACACCCCAATTCTCAGCCTTGAACAATTCAGTGGCCCAGCTACCCACAGCCACGCTCCCTGGGATGCCACGCTCTGGAAGGGCAGGACACAGGCAAGGCTTGGCGGGCGATCCACTACCATGCAACAATGGGCCTTGGTCTCCCCATCTGTGACATGGGACCCTGGCCATAAGCAGGGGCACTCTGCCACCTCATGTATGTGGAGCCACGGTGACAAGCCAGACCCTGCAGGCCCTGAATGTCACAAAGGTGGCTGCAGCCTGAATGCCTGATGGGGTCACTGAAGAGGCGGCCAGGCTCAAGGAGGTCCCCAGGGTCTGTTTGTCTTGGTTGCTCCAGGCTGCCCAGACTAACCCATTGTTGTGGGACCACACCCAGCCCTGGGAGGGTGTTGCCGGGTGGGGGCCCTGCAAGTCACGTCTCCCTCCAGGAGGCTCTGGTTTGTGACCGCTGCACGTCTGCCTCCTCCCCAGCCCAGGCTCCCAAGGTTATGGCATGACAGACCTCAGGGCCTTTGCATGGCCAGGCCCACCATAGTCTCCCCTCTGGATCCCTATGCTCTGCTTCAAGACCTGCCCTGCTGCCCTACTTTAAATGACACCCATATTTCCTGCTGTCGTTTCTTACATCATTCCTTCCCATGTTCCCCATCACCGAAGCCCCTGCTCTAGACACACAAGGAGGCTCAGGAGCTCTGATAGTGCACCTTTGCTCCACAGAAATCTCCTACAGTCCCGTCTGTGGGGAAACTGAGGCAGGGCAAAGGAGATGACTCACATTCACCAGGACCCTGGTGCCAGGCATCTGAACCCTCATTATACTACGGATGAGGAAGCCAGCTCAGAGGTGAGGGAGACAGGGAGGAAAGGGGGGTGGCTCAAGGGGCCAGTTTTCTGAGGCCTGGGTCCCAAGACGGCAAAGAATGGCTGGCCTAGGGGACTAGGCAGAGTGTGGAGGGTGCTGGGGCCTGGGAGGTGTAGTCTCCGAGCCATGAGAACCACTGAGGTGGGGGGTGGGGCACTAGATCACGGTGCCCTGGAGAGCCCGGGACCCACCCTCCTGTCTCTCTCCTTTAGCAGCCTCCTGGCCAAGTGCTTGGGCCAAGGCCAGAGACCAGATCAGAGCCTCTCTGCCCTGGGCTACTCGCCCTCTGCTGTGCTGAGTGCTGGTCTCGGAGCCGTGTCACAGCAGCGGGAGTGCTCACTTGGGTCCCAACAGGTGACAGGAGGCATCTGAGGCCCTGTTCGGCCCAGGATGCTTCCCGCCTGAGGCTGAGGCTGAGGCCTCCATCAATGTTGAGAGGCAGTGGGAGCCAGGCCCATCCAGCCACAGCCTCCACCCATGCACTCAACTGCCATCCGGAGACTCTCCTGACTTGGGGCCTCTTCAGTCTCAGCCATGAATGATGGGGGAGCCACGAGGATGGCATCGGTCCCTGGGGACAGGGACACTGGCCCCTGTGAGGCCCGTGCCGAGTAGCGAGTAGCGTGATTACTGACGGTGGTGGGTTCTCGGCTATTGTCTGCACTCCAGCGGCCACTCCCATGAGCGCTACTGTGTCACAAGCCAGCCACACCAAGTCCCCCAGCTACGGGCAGCCCCAGGGCTGCAGGAAGAGGATATCAGTGGCAGCCATGCTTTCCAGAGGACCGACATTAACACCACAACTGAAATCAGCCAGTCAGCCTCAGCAGCTACCCCCAGCCCATGCTGAGACGGTCCCGTGCACGGGAACCCCGAGGACTGGTATTGGACCCTTTCCTATGTAGCTGGCCACCCTGCCCTCCCTAAGGTCCCTGGTGGGGTCTACGCTGCCAGGTCCTGGCTCAGAGCTAACAGCACCAGTAACCTGCACACATGGGCCACCCTGCTGGAGATCTAGCTGGCTCCGCAGCCAGAAATCTTATGAGCCGCCCACTAAAACAGGGGCAACATGAAGGCAGCCGAGGTGGGTGTTCATGGACCCAAAAGGCCAGGTGCCGTGCTAGAGCTCTGGTCTACAGCGTCTCTTTGGGGGGCACGCCCCACTTACCTTCCCTGTGGAGCGCACGCCCTTCCAGATGCAGAAGAAGCACACCAGCCAGACGAACAGCAGGCAGAGTGCCAGGTCCCACTTGAGTGCACCAGGGTGGTCGATCCCAGGGGACAGGCTCAGCACATTGTGCCTGGGAACAAGTACAGGGCCAGGTCAGTGGGCAGCAATGCCCCCAGGGAACCCTCTGTCCTGGGACAGAGCTGCGGGAGTGCAGAGAGGGGACTGGCTGGGTATGTGGTTCAGTGGTGAGCACTTGCCTGGCACAAGACGGCCCTGGGTGCCATCCTCACCATCCAAGGGAGACGGAGGAATAGGAAAGGGTAGATTTAGGTGCTACATGGAGTGAATTGGGTTCAGTGTAGCCTGGCCCCAGGCACATCATGAAACCCTAGGCCTCAGTTTCCTCATCTGTAAACTGGAAAGTGGCTCTCCATGGGGCCCAGGAAAGCCTTCTTCATCGTCCAATGAGGAATGCATAGCAAAACCCATAGTGCTCCCTTATAGGGGATGCTGCTGGGCACCAGAAGGTGCTGTTGGCTAAGATTACTTGACCTGCCACCCAGAGATGGTGCCTGTCGTGCCTGGACAACAGAAGTAAGGCTGCCTTGCTGAGCAGGTACCTGCCCGGCTCCCAGCTCCAGGGGAGCTCCCTGCTTGAAGGTTGCAGCCCCAGAAGGACACAGTAACTGATGCCTCAGTTTCTCCTTTCATAAGTGGGGAACAGCTCCTGCCTGGGATGCTGCCTGGTGACCCTGTGATCACCATCAGAGCCCCATCCCATGGATGTTCTCGCACTGGGACCTACTCATGTCCATCTTCTTGTCCTCTGGAAGCCAACACAGGGCCGTAAAGACACCCTGGTCCCTGCTCCACTGCTCTTGTCACTGACACTGACTGGTACATGGAGGACAAGAGTCCCTGCCACCGCTGGTCTCTCACCAGACCTGTTATAGAAATGGGGAAACTGAGGCCCATCTCTGAAGCCAGTCCTTCATTACAATGGACACTGAAGTCTGATTTGAAGGAAGTAAGCCCTGGTGTGAAAAGGCCTCCTCCCTCTGTGACACATGAGCCACTGGGGCTCAGGACAGGGCACCTTCAAGAGGCAAGTGCCGGGCACAAGGACACAGAGCCTTTTAGCAGGAGGAGGTGTGTGTGTTCTGCCTCACCCCACACCTCTATGGACTCGGTGGTACTATAGGGTCCCATCTGACCCTGGCTGACATAGTCCTCCACACAGTGACACCCACCAGGCTACCCCTAGACAGGCAAAGGGAAGGCACTGGGTTAATGCAGCAGACTTCTCTTCAAGCCAGAGCAGCTCAATCTCTGTGCTCAGGTCCCAAGAATCCTGAGCCGACAGCCAGCTCCTGCGATGTACCCTCTACCTGCCCCTCCAACCTGGGCACAGCAGTGGTACCCAGGCTGCTGTGAGCTCATGCTGGGAAGCTGCTGTCTCAGCCCCAGCAGACACCACAGGCCAGCTTCTCTGCTGCTGCTGGACATGGCTGGCGGGGTCTCACAGCAAGGGTGCAGTCTAAGGGTTGGTCCTGACCAGCAAGTCCAGTTTTCCAGTCCCGCACACACACGTGGGGAGACAGCGTTCACCCTCCCTCGCAGGGCTGTGGTCCAGGCAGGAGACTTGACAAGAACCAGCCCCGGGACAAAAACATGCAGGCTCTTAACAGGACCCAGGGGAGCAGGGCTTTCCTGCTGTGCAAGGCAAGGCCTCACCTAACAATGAATTTTTTAAAACCACTTTAATGCTTCAAAATCATCTTAAATTCTGAAAAAGTTGTGTGGAGGGCACTCGGCTGTGCTTCACTGAGCACCACCCTTTCCACTGCCACCCTGGGGTGGCCCAACCCCCTGCTGGGGCTGTGGTGGGTCCCTCCATGTCCGATCCAGGGTCTCCGAGTCCCTGAAGTAGCCGCTGGAACCATGGCTTCTCCCAGCTTGCGCTCAGCGAACAGTAGTGAGCCGTGCCCAAGGGAATGTACCATACAGGCGACTCATGTGCCTGAAACTGCCAGTCCTGGAGCCCAGGACAACTTGGGCAGCCTCTTCGCTGGCCTTCCTGGCTCTGAGTCACAGGGAACCCAGCAACATTCCCCCTCTGCACCACAGCCTCCTGTGGCTTCTGCTTCCCTCGGCCAATGGCCCAAAGCTGCCTCCTTACCACACACACAGACGAGACACCCCAAGGTGGGGGTCCCACAGTGCCCGGGACCTTTTCCTCCTGGGCAGGCACCATCCCGCCACTGGTAGCCACACGTGCCCAGTCACTTAGGCTAGACATGGCCCTCAGCCCTCCTGTCTCCTGGCCTTTACCTCAGATCTGCCTGGGGTCTGCCTGCCTCCCTAGGACTCTGGGTCTTAGGCCGGAGCCTGCAGTGTGGACACCGAGCAGTGTCCTTTTGCAGAAGGCATCTACCCTACACCAGCTGGGGGAATGAAGCCCAGTTGCTGAATGGAGAAAGTGAGTTCAGCTGGGCTCAGGAAGCCACTTGACATCACCAGAGCTCAGCCTGGGCTTGTTCTGTTCCCTGTCTCCCCGCAGGCGCTATTCTCATTGGCAACAATAGCAGTGGCTCAGTTGGGCAGGGTCTTAGCTGAGGCCCGGACGTCTGCTCCAGCCGGCCGCCAGCCACACTGGGAGAGAAGCATGGAGTGCGCCGATGGCTTCCTCTTGACCACAGGCCAACCCACTGTTGGCCGTGCGCCCCTGGGACGGCGGCGGCATCATGAAAGGCTGTCGTCTGCCTGCCTGGCGCGAGCCTCTCCTCTGCCTCCTTCTAAGGAAGCATTCAGAGGCCGCAGGCGGCCTGGGGACAGCCTTGGGGACATGGACCTGGGGAGCAAGGGCCAGAGGAACAGGATGGGCGGATAGGAGGGCTGGCTCGGTCATGTTGATGGAGCTGGCTCTGGGGTCCATGGGTCTCCATCTCAGGGCTCTGCAGGGCTGGGGCTCAGGTTGCAGGGTTGAGTAGGGGGGTGAGGGGTGAGGCCCCAGGGGGAGATGCAGAGCCCATGGGACCTGGCCATGGGGACAGATGGCTGAGACAGGTGAGCCAAGGCAGTGGTGCCCCATGTCCACATAGGGCTCAAGCTGGGATGGACAAGCAAGGAGGGGGCTGAGTTCTAGCTGGATAGGGCTGTGTCCAGGACAGGGGTCCCTGCCTGCTTTGCCTGGAGCCCAAGATCATGGCTGCCCCAGCCTTAGTGCATCAATTCCCAGACCTTGGTTGGCATGGTTGGGGGACATGATGGCCAGTGTCTAAAAGGCACGAGTGGACTGTCCTGTCCTGCCCCTCAGAGCCCTAGGGGTCCCTGACCATGGCCATGCAGTCTTCTGTGCACCTGCACCTGCCCAGTGTGCACCCACATGACTGCCAAGTGCCCATGCCAGCCTGCTGTGGACCTGTGTGACTGTGGGCTCTGCCATAACCAATGGCAAGGGCCATAGGGCTCGACTCTCCCATGAAGGGGCCGGGGTCATCCAGTGGGTATGAACACACCTAGAGCCAGCAGAGATTAAAACAGCTCATGTCCTGGGCTCACCCATCTGTTACTCCTGAACAGGTCAGCCTAGAGTGCAAAACCTTGGGTCTCTTGCTTCTGGCACCCAGACAATGCCTCCCATCTTGGAAGAGCTACCCCAAAGGTCCACAGCTACCTGTAAGCTCCTGCAGAAGCCCCAGGCTCAGACCACCCGCAAGCAGAATCATGACCTAAACAGCACCTGTCTATAGCTAGCAAGTTTAGAGGTGGTTGTTACACAAGAGCTGAGACAAGCTAGGTATGGTAATACATGCCTAGACTTCCAACACTTGGAGGCTGAGACAGAAGGATCTCAAGTTCAAGGCCAGCCTGGCAATTCAGAGAGACTCTAAAACTGATAAAACAAAACAAAACAAACTCAGATACTACACATCTATCTACCTTCTCGCCTTTTCACCTGAGTGACTCCTTGATTTCCCAAGTGTGTTGTTTTCTGCGTGATAATAGAAAATGCATTTTTCTAAAACACATTAGGATCACAAGACTGTTTTCAGACAACCTAACTACATGTTCCTGCATCTGGGACAGGAATTATCACAGAGACCCTGGGGAAAGGAACAACTCACTCCCTCGGGGACAGCTGAGGAAACTGAAGCCTGCACAAGTTCAAACAGCAGGCAGTGACAGAGCTGGACTGACCCCAGACTGGACCCCACCCCAAGAGGACCCGATCTTACTCCCAGAACTCGATGACGGGGGACGTGAAGTTGGCGGGGCTCAGGGTGACCCACAGGCTCTTGTTCCTGCGCAGTGTGTCCTCCAGGCACTGTGGCGTGTTCCAGCTATGGTTGCAGTGTGCCCAGGGCAGCTCCTGCTGGAAGGACTGGAACAGGTAGTAGGTGGCCCAGGCCAGGATGACGATGTAGTATACGTTCAGCAGAGACACGATCACAATGGACGCGTAGCCAATGCCTGCGGGCCAGACAGATGCACATCAGCTGGCGGCTGCAGGATGACATCCCAGGCCTGTGGCCAGAGGGGGCTTTGGCAGTAGCCAGCAGGTGTTTGCAGGATGCATGGAGGAGGACTGGGTGCAGGAACACATGAAGGATGGTCAGGGAATAGGGTGGTTGGTCCAGCACACAGCTGGATGGATGGATGCTCAGAGAGACGGACAGGTAATTGGACAGATGGCGAGCAGATAGATAAATGCACAACAGAGGGGAGAACACATGAACAGTGGGTAGATGGGTGACGATGGGGGATCGGTTAACAGAGGAGTGAATGCAGACAGGTGGGTGGGAGTGAACAGCTGGATCAATGCACAGATGGGTGGTGGGTGAACAGAATGGTGGACAAGTAGACAGGTGGATGATAGATGGGTAGACACATGGGTGGATGGAAGGACAGGTGTGTGGACAGACAGACGGCTGGATGGGAGGACAGATGAGTGGGGAGACGAACAGATGTGTGCCAGATGGATGGATGAATGTCACTTACTGCAGATATGCACTCTGTTGGCTGGAGCTGTGTGTGGTTGAGTAGGGTGCTGGGTGGGTGGATGAATGAGTGGATGGGGAGGTGAGCAGAAGATGGGTAGGCAGTGTGATGACTGCATGCACTGGAGAGCAAAACAGGCGGTGCGTAGATGGATGGGTGGGTGGGTGAATGGATGGATGCATGAAGGGACTCACACACATTCCCAATCTTGCCAATAAAGTCCTTATAGTGATTATCTGAGCGCGTATTTAGTACCAAACACAGGACTGCACAACCATGAATGTGGTGCCTACTAAGGTATACCCAGCACTTAGGTCCATCCCCGCCATTCCACCCACACAGCAGCCCTGACAGGAGTGCGTCACTGTGCTTAATAGATGAGGAAACTGAGGTACAGAATGACGTTCCCAAGGCCACCTGACTATAGAGGAGAGGGCATGAGACTTGATCCCAGGCACAAACTATCTCGCCCGAGGTCCCCAGGAGGAAGCACTGCCCCGTGCCAGGCACCACCCACCCCACCCTGTCCTTCCTGACCTCGTCGCCCTGCTGCCCTGTGTCAGCTCTGCAGCAGGTGCCTTGGCCATACCCCCTCTCCATGTGTGGTGCTCACCGGAGAAGAGGGGGCAGATCTTCTCCCAGCAGGTGATGCCACCCTCTGAGGTGTACTGGCCGATGATGACCTCCAGGAAGAAGACAGGCAGGCCACTCCCAAAGAGGAAGATGAAGTAGGGGATGAGGAACGCACCTGGGGAGAAGGTGGGACAAGGTGAGGGATGGGGAGTGCTGTGGCCCCGCCCTCTGTCACCTGCCTACACTTTTGATCTGCTGGGTCCCTGGCTACCCACAGGGCCTCAAAGCTGCGCCCATGCCCCTGCTGCATCCTCCAGCAAGACCATCATGGGGCAACCTCCTGGCAGGGCAGGCCCTCACCTGCTCTCTACCAGCTGCATCTACTAATGGGCTCAGGGGTGTCCATAAGCCCCAGGAAACCGGACACTGGGTCTGGGATGTTTGCTCTGCATGGGGAGCCCCTGGAGCCCTCCGGAGGACAGTTCCATGGAGCCAGGACCTCCAGAGGTTAAGAGACCAGGTTGTAATGATGAGTTCTCCCCACCTCTGCAGCCTGGGTGCTGCCCAGAGCCCTCTGAAGGCAAAGCCCAAAACCCCCCACACCTCAGCAGATCTACAACTTAATGCATCTCCACCGCACACCTGACAATGGCTTCCTATTTGTGGGGCACAAAGAATCCAGAGCCGTGGATGGTATTTGGTGAGGTCAGCAAAGCCTCCAAGTTGTGGGCTGTGGTGGACTGATGGGAGGGAAATGGGGCCCCGCTCACCTCCACCGTTCTTGTAGCAGAGGTATGGGAAACGCCAGACGTTGCCCAAGCCCACGAAGCCACCAGCCACAGACAACACAAAGTCGATCTTGCTGGCCCACTTCTCGCGCTGGGGCGGCTTGCCCTCTGCCTCGTCCTCAGGCCGTGTGCCCGGGCTCTTGCCTGGTGACGGCTTCAGGATGTCCTTGTGGAAGTCCTTTAGGCACAGCAGCTTCTCCTTGGTGGCCATGGCTGTGCCTCCTGAGGGAGTGCAGAATGAGAACGGAGCCCACACCGGGCCACATGGAGCCATTTAGACGCCGCCAGGGACCCAGACCTCCTGGCTCAGGCTGGGGACACCAGTGACCTGGTCACAGGTTCCAGGTTCCCAGAGGCCACATCTGTCACCCCAAGCAATGAGACACAGCCCACATCCCGATGTAGCTATCATCTCCTAAACACTCAGCAAGCTGGGCCATCCCAGCACCTTCACACGGCAGTTGCCTGCTGCTGTCAGGTACAGGCACACTGGACTGTCTGAGTCCTGGCACTCTAGAGGCTGAGGCAGGACTGCAAGCTCCAGGCCAGCCCGGGCTACACAGTGAGACTGTCTCAAAAAAGCCTAAAATTAACAAATTTTTAAAGAGACCACTCCAGCTTCACTAAGGCCTCGAGTCTGCCCACAGGAAATGTCCATTTGAGAGTGTAAGTATGGATTCCAAGACTCAGACGAGGAAGTCTGCATCACTGGCAAATGGCAATGAATGCCTGTGAGGTACACTTGCGATTTAGGAACAATCATGTGTACACAGCAAACACAACGAGTACTTCACTGGTGAGGCCTGAGTAGCACCACGCAGCTCAAGGGCAGCCCTTCTTGGCCCACATGTGACGGGGAGGCGTGAGCAGAACCTGGTAACCTCCATCTACCCATCCATCCACCCCACACGCCACTATGGCTTGATCGCTGAAGGGCAGAGGCCATGGAAGGCGGGGACCCTCCTCGCGGTCGGTCTTGACCTCCCCATCCACAGGCCAAAAGAGTGACAGTCAAGGTGGCCAACTCAGCATCACAGCCCTGGTCACAGCTTGTCTGTTTCCTTGATCCTAATTAGCGACTGAATGCCAAGTGTCATGGTGTATGCCTGTCATCCCAGCATTCTGGGAAGCCAAGGCAGGAGGGCTCCAAGTTCAAGCCCAGCCTGGGCAATTTAGCAAGACCCTATCTCAGAACAAAAACAAAACAAAAAGAAACAGCTGGAGATGTAACTCAGTGCAAAGATCTGGGTTCAATCCTTGGTATAAAAAACAGGAAGAGAAAGAAATGGCCAACATTGAAATATCAGATTTTAGGGAAAAGTTGAAATGTCAAGGATCCCTGGAACACAGGAAGGTCAGGACTGTGGGGCCCCTTCTCCTTACGGTGATCATAGTCACTACCACACACTTGCCAAGCAGCCCCAACCACGAAGACATCATCTAAGCACTTGCTCTGGGTGACATAGACTCCTGAGCCACAGCAGAGGCCATGGGGACAAGGACCTGTTCCACAGATGTGCTCCTGGGGTCTGACACTGCCCTGAGTGTGGGAAGCAGCCGGCAGGTATTACTGGGTAGGTGGACCCCAAGTGGCCCCTGCTCCCAGCCCTCAGCTATGCACACACTACGCACGGGGAGTCACCAGCCTCAGAGCCGTGGACATGGGCGGACAGGGACATGTGGCCAGACAGGTGCTGGGACCTGGGGGTGGACAGGGACAGGGACATGCAGCCAGGCAGGTGCTGGGACCCAGAGAGAACCGGGACGTGCAGCCAGGCCCCAGGGGCTGTGCTGAGGGGCAGAGGCACAAAAGCACAACGCTGTGTTTCCCCCACGCCTCCTTCCTCTCCCTGCTCGGGTGGGGACCCCAATTGTTTCACTGTCTGGCGGGGAGCAGACGGAGGCTTCCTGGAGCCCAGAGCCCTTCCTCTGCCTGGCGGGGCATCCGCACGCCTTTCTCTGCTGGCTCCCACGGGGCCAGGCGGGCTCCGCAGCCCGCGCCACTGCAAAAATAGCCTGGCTGCAGCATTGTTCCAGCAAGGACCTGTGCCCCCTGATGCTTATCGGGCAGGCGGCATTGTGGCAGCAGGGTGGGCGCATAATTGGAGGATGTGGGGCGCACGCAGGAACAGCCCGAGGTGGGCTGGGCCCACCCTTCTGGATGCTGCCTGGACCTTGGTGCTGCAGGGATGTCCCAAGGTCAGCCTGGCCTCTGAGCTGTAAGGGCCTGGGGCTCCCAAACACAGGCAGAGGGGACTGTAAAGGCCCAGACTGCTTCTGGGGGGCCACCTGAGGGTTCTGCTCTGTCCACTCACCACATGGGTGCTTAGAGAACCCTTGGGAAACATGGGGGTTACCCCTGGAGCTCCTCAAGATCCTAGTACTGCATGCTTTAGTCTCCTACAAAATTAGGACTCCTGCTGGGCATGGTGGTGCATTCCTGGCATCCCAGCATTCAGTACGTTGAGGCAGGAGGATCCTCATGAGTTCAAGGCCAGCCTGGACTACATAACGAGACCATGTCGCAAAACCAAGAAATGATACATGGACCTGTCTGTGGCCTGCTTGCACCTGGCCCAATGGCCCCTTACTCCCTAGGAAACTGGGAGGCTCTGCAGAGCTCACAGCTGCTGTGTAGGACGCAGGACTCGAGGTGATCACTGTCCCTGAAGGATCATGTACACGGGGCTACGCCAAGTATCAGACCCTCGCAGTCACCTGCCCCCCTCAGGTGCCCTCCAAACCCTGGGATCTGTGGGTCCCCATACCCACCCTGCTTCCCCATCACCACAGCAACCTGGCCACCCACATGCTCCCCACACAGCCACTGAAGGCAACCAGCAAGCAGTGGGCTCAGGGCCACTCTGCCCCTGCTGCTAACCCTGACCAGAAACTGTGGCCTCTAACCAGCTGCTGACCTCAGGCAAGCAGCTCAGCCTCTCTGGTCTCCAACCAGCAGCTGCACTGTGGAGGTGGTCAGGGTCACCTGAGATGCACACGGCTGCTTGGACAGTAAGTGGCATGCCATGGGCCTGCTGTCCCCACCGTCTCCATGGCTGTAATTACCGTGGTCCTGCTGAGGGTAAGGCCACTGGCAGGGGCCCTGTGCCACCACCTCCTACACCTCTCGGTGCCATCTCTGCAGCCTCCTCGCTAGGCCAGTGCTCCTCATCAGGGGCCACCCAAGGGGCCAGAGAATTGCCCAGGGTCCTGTTGGCTGCTGGGCCATGTCCTGCTGGCATGACCTGTTTTCCTTGGCATGGCGCCCAGGGTTATTTTGTAGCAGCTGACAGCCATAATTCCCCATTTTAAGAGCTTCCTCTTCAGTCACTACAGCTCTAGTGATTAGGGTAGACTCTGGCACAGAGGCCTTGGCAGAGCCTACCTCACTGCTTGGCTGAAAATCCTTACTTCTCTGTCCCCAGGCAGCAGCCAGATCCAGCCGTGCCTAAAGGCTGGCCTGTGTGCAGATCGCTTGGCCAATCTTGGCACAAATGCAGCCCATTCAACCCATTGCAGTGAGGCTGTGGGCTTATTGTAGGGCATTCCTTTACTCCCCAACCAGTTTCAAAGCACCACATTTTTGGACAAGGGTGGTAGTACATGCACTCAGGAGGCTGAGGCAGGAGGATTACAAGTTTGAGGCCAGCCTGGGCTACACAGCAAGACCTAGACCAGCCTGGCCTGCAGAGTAAGACTTGACTTTAGAAACAAACCAAAACAGGGCCGGGACATAGCTCAGGGATTCCGCTGCCTGCCTTGAAAGTGTAAGGACGTAAGTTCAATCCCCGGTACCACAAAACAAAACAAAACAAAAAAATACCTTTTAAGTACAGTACTCTGGGCTGCACTAATTATAAACTGTTTTCTATTACCCATCAAACCCTTGAATTAGGGAATTTTTTTTTTCAGTGCTGAGATCAAAGCCAGGGCTGTGCCAGGGGCCCTGGAGGACAGAGTACAGCTTGAGACCCAGGACCCTCACCTCCCCCAGAGCCCCAGAGGTGAGAAAAGGACACTGGAGAAACTGAGTCCCCGCTGCTCCAGCTCACCTGCCCTGTGGCACCCACAAAGAACCTGCAGTCTGCCAAGGACTGGAGGAGGGCTGGGTACGAGACCCCTCCACTCCCAATGCCCACCGACCCCACACCCCATAAGGCCAGGATTCTGTGGATCCAGTGAGCTGCACCTGGAATTCTGACGGGTGGGGGTGGGAACCGGACCTGGGTCACCCAGGAGGGACCCTCGCCCACCCTTCCTGAGTGTCCCCTCCCCACAGCAGCGACCTGGGCATGCAGAAGCCACACCAAAATGTGGGAGCCGCAGCAAGTGACAAAGTCTCTATGCCTTGGTGTCCTCCCTCATCTGGGGAAGTCTGGAGGTGGAAGTCAGACGTGCCACTGGGATCACATGGACAGAGGCTGTAAAGTGCCAGCTCAGGGCACACATGGCAAATGACAGGCCCTGGGGACAATGGTCAACGTCTGGGTCTCATGGCATATGTGACAGGCACTGTGCTGGGCTGAAGAAATGTTACGGGGTTGGGACCAGCTCTGGGGACCCTGAGTGTCCTGAATGTAGTTAATGACAACACCCTGCTCACTGGAAACCAAGAGCATGGACTCCAGCCTTGCAGGAAAGAGCTGAACACAGGAGGGGGCTCATGTGTACCACTCAGTCAGCGTCCTCCCCACACATAGTTCCACCACCCTCAACACACAGAATGAGCACGCTGCACTGCACGCCACTGCCATACACAGCTGGTGGCCCTGTGAGGAGCTCCACGCCTCCTCAAGCTCTTCCCCCGTCCCCACTCCACAATGAGGCCCTAGATGATGTCATTTGCCCAGGTCACACTTCGAGTCAAACCCCTGAGCAAGGAACAGCTTCCAGGTCCGTCCTGGCTCCCAGTGTCCTCCTTCTTAACCCCTTGAGGTACCACCTGCACCTCTAATGAGCCACTGGGCTGCCGGGCCAGCAGGCAGACAAGGAACCAGGCTCAGGGAGAGCAGAACCAGGCCCAGGGATGCTGCAGGAAGGGGGAGAGGCCGCAGGATGGGCAGTGCTGTGCACAGGGTGTGCCTGGTGGGGCAGAGAGGCTCCTGGGTCCCCGGGTAGGTGGCCCCATCCGTGACATCCAACCTGTACTCTCCTGGGTGCCACCCCAGACCCCTGGATGTTCAATTGGAGATGCTGGATAAACACAGTGAGCTCAGTGTTAAGTGCCAGCCTAGCACACAAGTGCCTGGGCTCCATCCAGCTCCAGCTCAAAAACAAAAACAAAAACAAAAATCAAAGCTCTTTTTTTTCTGTCATAGAAAGCAGACCTTCAAAAGATTTAATCATTTAATTGGATCATGTGATCTGTATCCTTTAGTCATCTGTTCTGAGAAAAGGCTAACTCAAGCATGACACCCAGGGCCTCCCGGGGCCTGGAGGGCCTGGCGGGCAAAGGCCAGTGGCTGGGATGGCATCAGAGACCATGGGGAAGGTAGCTCAAAGCTGCCCAGACTGGGGTCCACCTGGGGCCAGATCCTGCACACGTATGTTTCTGAGAACCCCAGGTGTAGTCATGTGCACGCGCGCACACACACACACACACACACACACACACACACACACATCTTGTGTCCTCAACACTGTGGGGGCTGGGTCACCTGGGGCAGCCCCTTGGACATGCCAGCCTGTGGTCAGTCCCCATGAGCTCACCTGGAAGCCAGGCATTATCTTGCCTGAAATAAAGCAAAAAAACATCATTTGCAGGTGAGGGTACATTGAGGGGGGTGGCCTCGGGGACAACACTGCCCAGTGACTGCAGGTCTCAGGTGACTTCCCAGTAGGAGCCCCTTGGGCTGCACCAGCCAGAGGCAGCGAGTGAGCAGAGTTTGCAGCCTGGCCTCTGGGAAGTGCTGGGAGGGTAAAAGATGGGGCCCTATCCACAGCCCCAGCACTGCCCCTCGTAAACTCAAGGTCTGGAGCGGGGCCCTGATCACTCAGTCCCCTCCTGAAGAGCCAGGCCCTGACCCAAGGTCCCAGAGACTCAGACAGGCGCTGGAGAAGACACGGGGCTAGGGCACCACGGCAAACAAGAGAAGCAGGAGCCCTGGGCCAAGCAAGCATGGCTGGGGCCTGGGCTTCCAACCACAGAGATGTGTGTGGCAGAGATCCAGGGGAGCAGCACCTCAGAGCTGGGGATCCCCCTGGTGGCAGTGCTTCAGGCGGCACAGAGCTACTCTTTAGGGCAGGGGATATGACTGACAGGGCAAGAGTCTCCACTGTCACCGGTCGCATGCCTGCCAGGGACTTAGGGCCACCATCCTGCCCCGCAAATGCTGAAGTAACACAAGGACACTGTGGGAGAGAGTATGGCCAGGGGAGGGTGGAGACAGGAAGGGCCAAGCTGCAGCAAGGGCAGATGTGGGGGCCTGGGGATGCCCGGCTCGGGAGGGTCAGCTGCCTTCATGGCCCTCATGATATGCTCTGAGTGTGCAGGCTGTAGGCTTGGGTCTTTCACACTCGGGCCTGAGAGCTCTGAGCAATGGCTGTGCGGCCTCCCTCCCAGAGGGTGAGGGTGAGTCAGTGGCACTGTGGGCACCAACTCGCCGTGTCACTTTCTCGCCACCCCGGAAGTGGGCAGGAACCAGGGTACTTCCTGGACAGCCCAGAGATGGAGCGTCTGCCCCACTTCCCCTTTCCTGCTGAGGACCCAGAGCACCTCGAGGGCTGCAAAATTCAAGTGGAGGGGGACCTACCCCCCACACCATGACAACACCGCTTGAGGCATAGTGGCCCCATTGCTGTCACCAGGCTCCGTGGAAGCCAGCCAGGCCACCCCCTCAGCGGAGCGTTGCCCCTGTTTGTCAACAGCCTCTCCCGTGCCTGGTTCTGCTTTCCTTCGGTCAGGAGAGGCCCCTCTTCCTTTCTCACAGTGCCCTTACCTCACGCTGGCTCAGGGGAGCTCCATCACGCAGGGCCAGGACTGAGCAGCCGGGCAGCACGACAGTGTCACAGCACACCCACGGCAGCTGTTCCGGGGCCCGAGCTCCGCCCCTTGCCGGCTGCCCGGTGTGTGGTGTGTGTCCTCCCCTCGGTCTGGTCACAGCCATCCTCCACTGTCAGCTGCACCTGGCACAGGACTCACACGTCAGGGTCCACCAGAGGGACATCTGCGGCCCAGGGCGCCAGTCAGCCACGAACTGAGCCAAGGGGTGGCTGGGATGCACTGGCCCCAGGCATAGTGCCCCACGAAGGCCCAAGCTCTGCTGGGCTTCTCTCTCTGAGATGACCCTAGATTTTTAGGGGTTCAGTGTCTGTTGCACAGCCTGCTCCCTGAACGTCTCCCAGGGGTGCCACAGGCCAGCGTCCAGACCCACACATGGGCAGACTTGGGCCACAACAGATGGTTGACAACACAGAGTCCTGACACAGGCCACCCAGCAGAGCAGGAGGAACCACACTTCACCAAGACGAAACAGGATGGAAAGAGACCGGGGGGCAGGGGAGGACAGGACCAGAGCCTAAAGGGAAAGCTTGCTCCATGCTTGCGAATAGGGTGCTTCTCCTCTCTGTGTGGGCCTGCCCAGTGCCTCTACCTCCCCAGGCAGAGAGAGCTGGGATGGACCATGTGGTCACCTGGCCCATCACACAGCATCGCAGGAGCAGCCCCACTAGGCTGGGAATCCTGACCTCCACTCCACCACGTTCCTCATACCAGACCTCAACTGCTGCCAGCTGGCAGAAGACAATCTCTAAGTTCTCCACCTGGAACCCAAGATTGCTGCACCCTCTGTCCTGTCCTCGGTGTCTGATACCAGGTTCCTCATCCACCTGGCATGAGGCCCCAGACTCCCTGTCCTTCCTGGTATTACCTTCACAGCCTTGGTTTGTGCCTGAGTTCTGTGACCTGGCCGTGGAGCTGCGTCCCCCACTCCTGCGCATCCACCATTCAGCAGGTGCTTGGCAACCTGGGCAAGGTTCCGAGCTCTCCATCCAGGAAACGTCCCTGTGACCCGGAGGAACCTAGCACCCATTAAGACACAGATGCAGGCGTCCAGACCTGCAGATTCTGTGTCCCCTCTGCCCAGGGACTGTGGACCTGCCAGCCCTTCAAGAACTCAGCTTCAGGAAATTGGGAGGGGCACACAGACCTGACTGTGAGAGCAGTGGTGGCACCCTGGGTGGCCGCGGACACTCCAGCTGCAGCCTCACCTCGCCACGCCCTGTGGGTTGGGCACTTTTGCCCTCCTTACAGGTCACCAGGCCATGGCTCAAGAGCCATGCGAGCACCACAGGGCCAGGTCTACCCAGGACCTGGCCCCTGTGATGGAAAAATCAAGGCCAAGGTGACAGGGCACAGGGCAATGGGCTGAGAGGAGAGGGGCACAGAGACGGCCTCCCCAGGAACAGGGCATTGGGACCTGGCTATAGCCACTCAGAGCAGAGGGACACCCCCTTGCAGTGGGCTGTGTGGTACCACCTGCTCCCCAGCCAGGACTATTGACAGGACAAGGCCACAAGACTTGGTGACCGCTGCCTGGCACAGTCAGGTCCCAACTGTCCCCAAACACATGCAGCGCATCCCAGTGAAGATGCCCTCCTCGGGGTACCCAGATTCCCTCAATTACTGCGTGGGGATAACGACAGCACCTGCAGGGTAGCAGTGTGACAGGGTTAGTGACGTCACTGCCCTCAAGATGGGGACAAAGCGGACCACGTTCTGCTAAATTGAGCTCCAAGTGCAGCCCTGCCAGGCATTTCCTGTGAGTGGACAGTGGCAATGTGGACCGGGATTGGACAGCACTTGGCCCAGCCTGAAACTCAGGGCATCGCCCATGGACCTGCCTCTCCCTGTCTCCAACCCTGACTGACAGTGAGGGTGAGGGTGGGGATGAGGGATCGGAGGGGCCTCCTGGGTCTGGACGCCTGGCCTGGATGGTGGTGCCCGACAGACGGGTAAGAGCTGGGAGATGGGGGCTGTGCCGTGGGGAGCATGTACCAGGAAGACCGCAGCTGCGGCCCTGGCACCCCGCAAAGCCCCACTGGGCACCCAGCCCCCATCAGGACCCCAGGCTGCTGACTGATCCCCAGCAGCTCAGCAGCCAGACCCGACACCAGGCCAGTGCTGTGATCCCGTGCTGCTGAGCAAGCTGGGGAGCCCATTCTGTGCCTCGGTTTCCTCTTCTGTCAAACATGGCTGCGACAGCACTGCCTCCTATGGCATGGTGCATGATGCCCACAGCTACTCCAGTCTGGGGTGCCCAGCCCCTGGCTGGAGAGTCACTTGGGCCACTTTGCTCAAAGACTGAGGTTTCCACAAAATGCAGCTAACGAGAATCCTCAACCTGAAGGCAGGAGTTGGGGGGTGCGCCCGGAACCCCAGCACTCTAGGAGGCTGAGGCAGAAGAATCAAGAGTTTGAGCCCAGTCTGGGCAATGCAGGCACATCTTGTCTCTGAATAACAAAATTAAAAATGGGGTGGGGAAATGGGCTAACAATGCTCCTCGATGGGGCTAAGTGGGAGAAGGCCCCTTCATCCCAGGACACACTCCTCCATCCCGACCCCAGATGCCTCCTGCAGGAAGCCAGCAAAGTCCCTGGCGCTGACAATGTCTCTATCATGTCTCTACCATGGCTGCCCTCTGCCTCCCTGCTTCCCACCATGAGCTAGGAGCCCACGGCTAGCAGTGTGCCAGGCTCAGCTGGGCGCTGTGACCCCACTGTAAGGGTTTTCTCCTTTCCTAAACCGCTCTCCTGGGCTGGCTGCTCACATCCTGACATCTCCAGGATGATCACAGCCCTGAGACTGAACCTGCAGCTACACCTGAGCTGCACTGCGGTGCCTTACCCCATCCACCTGGGTACTAGGTGACACGACTCAGTGTGACAGGGTCCACAGGAGAGAAGCCCACAACCCTTCATCTAGGTGCCAAGGTCGAGACCTCTGAGCCCAGGTCACAGCCCTCAATCTGACCCAAGAGGAGCAGGAGGAGCGGAGGTGGAGAAGTCATTTGGGAAGTCATTTTGCAAATCACCAGCAAGGATTAGAACCCAGGTGTCAGCCTAGACCACACCTGCACCCTGCAGGCCTTGTGCTCCATGCTTTCACGCTGGGCAGGGAAATCACCTGAATGACCACTAAAATGCCTACTGGGCCAGGAGAGATTTTCCCGAATTCAGCCTGGGTGAGTGGAGAGGTGGCTGAACTCCAGGCAGGTGGCACTGCGACCAATCTCAGTGGTAGGGGAGGGATGAAAGGGGCAGAAGCCAAGGCTGTCCCCAGCCGCCCCTCCCTGCCCCACACAGCCCCAAGCCCAACCCATCAGCTCAATCACCCCACACCACCCCCGCCTCCAGATGCCAGAGAAGCAGCCTCCTCCTCCTGGGCCAGGACACCTGTGATTTAGGCCACCTCTATAAGTAGGTGAGAAAGCGTCCTTTAACTGGCTGTCTATTCATTGGTCACCATTACTCCTAACCCTGGTGGCTGAGTTCTACGTTAATCCTTCCCACTCCCCACACTCACTCTCAAGTCCTCAAGGTCCCAAGTTCACTTCCTCAACCTCCACCTACACTGCGTCCCCCAAGCTGCCACTTCAGAGCAGTGAACCATGACCCCAGGACATCATCCCGAGATGGGGACTCCGCTGTGCCCTCTGGGCAGTTGCATGGCTTGCAGGGACAAGGACACCAGAGCTGGGCTTTCCAAACACCAAGCCATCTCCCTCAAGCGCCAGTGGCCTGGCAGCCCCACATGGGACACCATGTCCAGCAGGGCTGGACTCTGTCGGGGGCACAGCCAGGAGGTGGCAGCACGGAGCCTGCGGCTTCCGTGACCTTGGCGGTCCCCACGCCCCTCTGGATGGCCTTTTCTGAACGGGTGGGCAGGAAGTGAGCACAGCCTAGCACTGCCCGGGAACCAGATCCAGCAGATGCTAAATGAACTGGGGGAGCAGATGGGTCCCCCAAGGTGAAGTGCCCGAGTGCTGGAGGGGCACGTGTTCTGGCCCAGGAGGCAATGCAGTGTGGCGCTGGTGGAAAAAGCACACTGTCCCATTCGGGGGTCCCAGCCTCCCCTCCACCCCTGCTCTAGAGACCCCACTGCCTCCTGAGGTGCCCTCGCCACCTGGGCATGCTTACTGAAGGCAGCTCTGGGAGGGAGGGTGACCGGGACGGTCTGGCAGCCATTTCCCCAATGTCCACATCCTGTCTCCCTCACCTCCCTCCCATCCTGTGGCCCTCTCAGAACCAGACCCGAGGCCCACAGAGCCCTCCACTGCCTAGAGGGTCACAGGACCTGGGGGTGACACACAGTTAGCCTGCCAGGGGCAGCAGACACCACAGCTCTGTGTCTTCAAGTCCTACTGAGCCAGGGCCTGTGAGAGCCCTACCCAGCGTGGGCCACGGACCCGGCGCAGTGGGACGCTTGGGAAATGAGAGGACAGCAAGAGGACCACGTGCTTACAGGGCCAAAGGCTGACAGCTTCTGCTGTGCAGGTCTCTGAGGTCATCCCACTCCCTCCTCTGCTTCCCCGTGGACATCATGCAAGCACGGATGTGTCACTTCCCCCAACCTGTGTCCCTTATGGAGGATGTCACACGGACACACATGCCATGTTCCTGTCCCTGGAGGGACACTGTGCAGATAACTTCTGTTAATTGGACCCACCTTAGAGTCCCTCCGCGGGTGGCCAGAGACAAACACCTTGGGCATCTCAGCCACGAAGACCCATCAGAATCCCTCCCCCGAGAGAGGAGGGATGCAGGCACAGGAGCACAGGCCAGGGGCACCATCCAGAACCACTTCTGGGGGCTGGTGTCAAGGCCTGTGGTGCCACCAAGCTATCACAGGGTAGGGCTAACTACGGGGTACAAAGACAGAGGGGCTCAGAGGGGAGCCAGGAAGCCCTGTCGTGGCCACCTTGTGTCCACACTCGTCCTCCCTGGAGACAGGAGCGGGTGACGCCCTCTAGGGACAGCTCTTGGCTTCTGAGAAACCTCTCCTCAAAGACTCCCACACCCAGGGACCTCAGTGAGCCCTCGGCTCCCCTTGGGGATGGCCTTGGGTGCTGATGGAACAATGAGGACAAGAAACCTGAGGCCCCCCAAGTGCTACCAGTGCCACCTCTAAGCTGTGCTGACTTCCCGGGAGGGAGCCATGCACATATGCCAGTGCCCTCACCCCAAGAGTGACCAACAGGCCACACTTGCTCAGTGGAGCTGTGCACTGTCACATGCTGGGGCTTTGTGTTTTCCTCCCTGACCCCCACTGTGGGGGCAGCCCAGTGACACTGTACAACACCGTGGTACTTCAGGACTGAGGGCCACAGAGGCCCAGCAACACCTGCCTCGGGAGCCCAGGCCACAGCCCCTTCTACTTCCTGGCTTTTCCTGCCTTCCCAGACGGGGAGCTGCCTCCTCAGAATGGGAGCTGATCACATCTGCTGTCCTCAAAGGCCTGACGCAGGTGGCGCCACCCCCTCCATGCCCACAGCCCACACCAAGCAGGAGTGGAAGCTGGGGTGACCCCATGGGATGTGAATCCAACACCCCAGAGACGGGCAGCTCCATGGCAGCTCATGCCCACCATGCCCACCATGCCCACGGCCCAGGTTCGAGCCCCCACGATGAAGTACAGGTACATCTCTGCTAGTCTAGGACTCCGGTTCCTGGCACACCAATGCAGAAAGGCCCCACTCACAGACACACGGCGTCACCCTGCCCTGCCCTGCCCCTCGCAGGATGTGGGCCACACTCACACCGCTAAGCTGTGCCCTTGAAGAGGCTCGGGGCAGAAAGCAAGGGTCAGATGCGGCGGAACGGGGAGTGCACAGGCCTGGGTTCCATCGCCAACACTACGAAGCATTAAAACAGCAAAAAGCTCAAGGTGGTCAGTCATGCGCTGTGTGTTTCACCACAATTAAAAATAGAAAGGGATTAGACCAGAGAGAAGCTGCGGTCAGCGGATTCCTGCCGCCAGGGACTAATTAGGTAAATGGTTTTCCCAACACGTTAGGACCTGGGGCCACAGACTGT